CGCCATCTACCTAATACCTCCCTGTCCCCATCTACTAACTCCCCTACTCTGTTTTTAACTGGCAAATCCATACGTTCCCTAGGCTTTCTTAACTTGTTTAACTCGCTCCAAAATTTTTTTCTTATTTTCATTAAAATTTCTTGACAGTGCCTCTCCCACTCTATCATCTGCTCTCCTTTTGCACTCTCTCACCACCTTTCTTTTACTCTCCATATACTCTGCTCTTCTTATAACACTTCTGCTTTGTAAAAACCTCTCATAAGCTAACTTTTTCTCTTTTATCACACCCTTTACTTCATCATTCCACCAATCCTCTTTTCTTCTGCCCCCACCCTCCTATAAACACAAACTTCTGCCCCACATCCTAATACTGCATTTTTAAAACTCATCCAACCCTCTTCAACCCCCCCCCCCCCACTACTCATCTTTGCACTAGCCCACCTTTCTGCCAATAGTCGCTTATATCTCGCCCGAACTTCCTCCTCCCTTAGTTTATACACTTTCACTTCCCTCGTACTTGTTGTTGCCACCTTCCTCTTGTCCCATCTACCTCTTACTCTAACTGTAGCTACAACTAAATAATGATCCAATATATCAGTTGCCCCTCTATAAACATGTACATCCTGGAGCCTACCCATCAACCTTTTATCCACCAATACATAATCTTACAAACTACTTTCATTACGTGCTACATTATACCTTGTATATTTATTTATCCTTTTTTTTTTCATAAAATATGTATTACTTATTACCAAATCTCTACACATAGCTCAATTAAAGGCTCCCCATTTACATTTACCCCTGGCACCCCAAATTTACCTACTACTCCCTCTACAACATTTTTACCCACTTTAGCATTGAAATCCCCAACCACAAGTACTCTCACACTTGGTTCAAAACTCCCCACACATTCACTCCACATTTCCCAAAATCTCTCTCTCTCTCCTCTACACTTCTCTCTTCTCCAGGTGCATATACGCTTACTATAACCCACTTTTCACATCCAACCTTTATTTTACTCCGTATAATCCTTGAATTAATACATTTATTGTCCCCCTTTTCCTGCCATATTTTATCCTTCAACATTATTGCTACACCTTCTTTAGCTCTAACTCTATTTGAAACCCCTGACCTAATCCCATTTATTCCTCTCCACTGAAACTCTCCCACCCCCTTCAGCTTTGTTTCACTTAAAGCCAGGACATCCAGCTTCTTCTCATTCATAACATCCACAATCATCTCTTTCTTATTTGCACATCATCCATGCACATTCAGACTTCCCACTTTGACAATTTTCTTCTTATTCTTTTTAGTAATCTTTACAGGAAAAGGGGTTACTAGCCCATTGTTCCCGGCATTTTAGTTGACTTTTACAAGACACATGGCTTACAGAAGAAAGATTCTTATTCCATTTCCCCATGGATATAAAAGGAAAAGTAATAAGACCAAGAACTATTAAGATAAAATCAAAGAAAAGTCAGAGTGTGTATAAATAAACGTGTACATGTATGTGTAGTGTGACCTAAGCGTGAGTAGAAGTAGCAAGACGTATATATACCTGTCATCTTGCATATTTATGAGACAGACAAAAGACACCAGCAATCCTACCATCATGTAAAACAATTACAGGCTTTCGTTTTACACTCACTTGGCAGGACGGTAGTACCTCCCTGGGTGGTTGCTGTCTACCAGCCTACTACCTACATATTTGAAAAAGCCCACCTATGGGCAAACCTTTATGCCAGTTGCCTCCACTGTAATTGTTTTTCTTTTTACCATATCAGTCTAAGTTCCAGTAGTTGCCTTCTTTCAAGTGTGTCTTGCATCCATTTTGTACAGTCTTCTAAAACTATCATATATTACTATGCTAAATTATTTTACTACAATAGCTCTAAGATAAGATACAAGTTAATTTTTACACACAGATTACGAGGAGTGGCAGGAGTACGCGTAGTGGATGCTTCCATCATGCCGCAGATAGTGTCTGGCAACCTCAATGCACCAGTCATTATGATTGGTGAGAGAGCTGCTGATCTCATTAAGCAAGATTGGGGCATCTCCATTTAATTCTTGTAAAAAAGAGTATAATCCTCAGAATATACCTGGAGGGTGTTCCGGGGGTCAATGCCCCCAAGGCCCAGTCCATGACCAGCATAATTGACATATGTTATTGCTTATAAAATGATGCTGGCCATGGTTGGCTATGTGAAGTGTATACCACAATCTAAAAAATATGGAATAAATACTCGGTATGTGTGAGAATAAATAACGGTATCAATGTGTACACGCATGGATAAACACTCAGTATGAGTCGAATCAACAGTATCATTTGTCACCTCAGAAGAGGTGCCTTGATGCTGGTTATGGGTTCTTGATCTAGGGAAATGAATTTATCCTTAATTGCATTTAACATGATTGCCTCCCTAACCATAGGGTGTCACCAAGGAATTTGTGAGGGAGTAGCAGAAGCACTGTACAAACCACTAACTATGTTCTACAAGTCAATGAACACAGGACAATTTAAAACAGTGAATTCAGTACCTATATTTAAGATAGGAGATAGGCAGGAGGAATTCAATTACAGGCCAGTTTCATTGACATATTTACCATGCAAGATAATGGAAAAGGTAGTTGGAAGGAGAGTGGTAGAGCACTTGGAGAGAAGTAATTTCATAAGCAACAACTAGCATGTGTTAAGAGATGGCAAGCCTTGTCTTACCACCCTTAAGGAATTTTGACAAAGTAATGGAACCAAGATAAGGCATTTGATACTGTACTCCACATGAGACTCTGTATAGTCCTTGTGGCTTAGCGCTTCTTTTTTTGATTATAATAATCCACATGAGACTGGAAAAAACTTGAAGCATGCAGAAATAACTGGGAATATACTTCTGTGAATCAAGGAGTACCATGGAGAAGGAAACAGAATAATTTTCCGGGAAGGTATGTCAGAATGGGGAAGAGTAACAAGTAATATACCACAAGAATCGGTATTAGAAATAGTCTGTTTCTGGTTTAAGTCCTTGTGGCTTAGCGCTTCTTTTTGATTATAATAATAATAATGGTTTAAGTAAACGACATAACCAATGAAATTGAGTCAGATATATCCGTTCACTGTTAACATAAAATTAATGAAATATAAACGGATGAGGATAGGGAAAGGCTGCAAATGGATCTAGACAACCTGCAGGGTTGTTCAGATAAGTGGTTCCTTGAATTCAACCCCTGCAAATGCAAGGTTATGAAGACTGGTAAAGGGGCCAGAAGACCAGACACAGTTATAGATGGAGGATAGAGGCTGCAAACTTCATTCAAAGAAAAGGATCTGGGAGTAAGCATACTGCCTACCAAATCACTTCTGCATCCAATGCTTGCCTGGCAAATCTGAGGCTGGCCTCCAAGAATCTTAACAGTCATTCTGGGTGTTTTATACAACATGTCATCTTGGAGTATGCAGCACCAGTATACAACCTATACCTTACAAAGTAGAATTACCTTAATGAGGAAGTGGTGGAGGCAAATTTCATATTTAGTTTTATGAATAATGATAGGGCCCATGAGGCTAGGAGAGAGAGACTGGCAAGTCGAGAGGCAAGGCCAGGAGCTGAGACTTAACCCCTGCAATCATGCACATAGTACGAGAGAAGAATCAACAGTAACATTGTACACATGCACAAGGAAATTCTCACTAAGTACCAAAGTAAAGAATCAACAGTATCAATGGTGTATGCTGTATAGTCCTTGTGGCTTAGCGCTTCTTTTTGATTATAATAATAATCAATGGTGTACATACATGGATACATACATGTGATTGCCACAGGGGCATTGACCCTCAAAACCTCCCCAGGTATGCTCTGGGTAACACTGTATACCCACCAGAATAAACTCATACCCAGTATTAGAATGTGAAGAATCAACAGTATTAATAGCCTGAAAGACAAATGAAAATACAGAATAAGGAATATATTTAAACAGCTATATTATGTTGTAAATAATATACACCAATAGTTATATTACATGCAAATTTGTCACAAAATCATGCAGACAGCTTTGCCAACCAAAACCACAAAACTGGAGTTACAAAGATGGACATTACAATAGTATTAAATTCACAGTACTTCTATTGCTTTTGTGTAAATATTAGAGAGCATGATATAAAGAAATATAGAACATTTATCTCAGGTTAAGTGACAAAAGGCCACCTCAGTGTCAAAATACAAACCACATGTGAGGATTTCTACTGACATCTTTAGCACTTAGTTCTGATTGTACTAATAATAATATTCACATATTTCTGAGGTGCATCTTCATAGTTTGCTTCCATTTTCTATCCCCAAACATTGTGATTGTTTAATCAATAACTTATTTATAAAACAATCTGTCAAATGTAATTGTTTTCTTTAATACAGTACTTAATAAAAAACAATCATAAGTATCAGTAAATATGTTACATTTTTGTTTGATTACACAGACTTGCAGGCCTCCATATTAAATTTTTATCTTAGTGGCTTTGTGGACCTGTTACAATGTGAGGGGGTTGCAACCACCCCTTCTAAACTCCTCAGGTTTAACTACAGTATATAGCACAGAGCCTTTTACATTCACTGTTACTGTATGTCTAAGGTTATTATGTGTATGAGGTCCTGCATAATAACAAGTGGATAACTTACCTCCTGGGAACATATGCAACATAACTGTTAGTCTGTGGTATGAAGCATCACTCAGAAGGACACCACCACCTATAAAGGTATTATGCCAAACCACAGCAACTCCATAGTAATAAAGGTGTCAGGAAAACAGCTACTGTATAAAATAAAATATATATATATTTTAATATTAACAGTACGTATTTACAAGGCAGAAACAGATTAAATTGGTGAACTATGTTACTTCTGGCATAAATTGTATTCCTTTTTTTTTAACAAGTCAGCCGTCTCCCACCGAGGCAGGGTGACCCAAAAAGAAAATACTTTCATCATTCAACACTTTCATCTCACTCACACACAGTCACTGTTTTTCCAGAGGTGCTCAGAACACAACAGTTTAGAAGCATATACGTATAAAGATACACAAAATATCCCTCCAAACTGCTAATATCCCGAACCCCTCCTTTAGAGTGCAAGCATTGTACTTCCCATTTGCAGGACTCAAGCCCGGCTATATAAAATTGTATTCACAAATAATTATTCCCAAACACATACTGCTGCCTTACCAGTGTCTTGACACACTAGCCTTGAGTAAGCTTCTCCAGGTATTTCAAATGTTTAACACACTGGTAAATGACTAATGTAATTCTTCACTGCTTTAAGCCTCCTCCTTGCTGCAACCTTCACAAACCATGTATAAAACTATACTCGGGTACATTCCCTTTCTTTGGCTGCCACAGATAAATTTCTTTTCCACAGATGCCTCAACACACCACCTACTTGATTTTTTTATAAACCTATCTGCTGACATGTCCACTCCTAAACATCTAAATAAGCCCACTTTTGCCATACTCCTTACCCCTAATCTGATACCCACTCTATCATTACCCTCATCGGTCTACTCTTTTCTATGTTCATTTTTAATTTCCTACTTGTATAAAATATTCTTGCAACCAAAAAATTAAACAAAAGAATCCAAACTATTCAAAATGTACATGTGATATGTCTACAACCTGGAAGTGGCATTTACTTTTTCCTTATCGTGAAGCAGTGGTGGCCAGGGCATGGTACCGAGTCAAGTCTTCTGGAGCAACTGAAGGCACCAACTTTGCTGCAGCAACATAGAAGTCATTTTCCTCAACCTCAACAGTGGCATTCTCTTCCTGCACTAAACCTGAAATTATTTATTTTAATATTACAATCACTCTTTATTCGACACTAATTCATTGAAATAATGTAGATAAAATAACAGACAATATGTTAGGTAAAAGGACACAAGTGCAACTAATGTGACATTTTATTGTGAAAACATTTTGCTCTCCAGGAGCTTTGTAATGGCTTGACAAAGCTCCTGGAGAGCAAAACGTTGTCACAATAAAATGTCACATTAGTTGCACTTGTGTCCTTTTACCTGACACTAATTCAGTAATTATCAAATGCAAGCTATAAAACATGGTGGAGGTGGTTCAGCAAGATAGATTAAAGATACAATATATGCTCTCTTAACTGTTCACTGATTAACCAAAAGTCATAATTGAACTGCCTAATGGACAGAAGAGGCCAGAAATATGAGAGGGGGGATTGGATTTTTATTTTACTATTTCATCACATGTCACTGTGAATATTTCCCTCCCATACATAGGCATGTGTGAGTGTCAGACAGGAATGAATGGAGACGAATGGTGTTTGGGACCTGACGAGCTGTTGGAGTGTGAGCAGGGTAATATTTTGTGAAGGGATTCAGGGAAACCAGTTAGCTGGACTTGAATCTTGAAAGTGGGAAGTACAATGCCTGCACTGTAAAGGAGGGGTTTGGAATATTGGCTGTTTGGAGTGACATCTAAACCATAGTATCTAAGCATCTCTGCAAAGACAGTGATTATGCTTAAATGATGGAGAAAGTGTTTCTTTCTTTTTTGGGTCACTCTGCCTTGGTGGGAGACTACTGATGTGTTAAAAAAAAACATTGGCACATTTTATAAAAAAAGCAAGGAAAAAACTCAAACAGCTTTGAAAAATAAAACATAAAAATCCACATTTTTTGACTTCCATACTTTCCTACATATAAGGCACATGAGCATTACAAGTACTCCAACTTTATTACTGTAATGAACTACATCTTCTTTTATGAAACACCTCTTGCCAATAACCCAAAAACCTACCCTTGACCCCTTACCTTAAGCATATGAGGTGTGGGGTGATTCTCCAAGATTTTTCTTGGGTGTTGGGGGGGGGGGCAGAAAATATGCCTTATATGCCAGACAATATGGCATACTGTGAAAAAAAAAAAAAACTTACCATACCTGCACTAACAACCATATACATGTATCGAAGATAAATATATTTGATAAAGTAAGCACCAAGTAAAAAATATCAAAAATGTTAAGAGGAAGAGGTTGGTATACCTGAAGTATACCTGGTGAGGGTTTCAGGGGTTAATGCCCCCACCCCCGGTGGTGAGGAATGCAACTTAGAGCTCTATGCGAAGGAACATTACAACCAACTTTCCTGTCTCACAATCATCACACACCACACATACCATTTATCCTATTTTCAATGTGAAAGTCTATAACAATTCTGTCTTAAGGAGGGCATCCAAAAAATGCAATAACAAAACAAATTTAACTTGATATGAGAAATAATTTTTAAAGCAATAAATCATAAAAACTCATTTAGGTACTGCAGCAATTAACCAACCATAAACCATGGTAAAAATGGGTGAGTTTATGATACATCTGAGTACACATTAAAACACTGCACAACAAATCCACATTTCTAAACAAGGAGAATTTCTGAAACTTAGTAACAAAGTTCCTAGGTAGTAGGCTGGTATACAGAAGCTGCCCAGGGAGGTACTACCGTCCTGCCAAGTGAGTGTAAAACGGAAACCTGTAATTGTTTTACATGATGCTAGGATTGCTGGTATCTTTTTTCTGTCTCATAAACATGCAAGATTTCAGGTATGTCTTCCTGCTGCTTCTTACACTTAGGTCACACTACACATACATGTACAAGCATATATATACACACACCCCTCTGGGTTTTCTTCTATTTTCTTACTAGTTCTTGTTCTTGTTTATTTCCTGTTATCTCCATGGGGAAGTGGAACAGAATTCTTCCTCCGTAGCCATGCGTGTTGTAAGAGGCGACTAAAATGCCGAGAGCAAGGGGCTAGTAACCCCTTCTCCTGTATAAATTACTAAATTTAAAAAGAGAAACTTTCGTTTTTCTTTTTGGTCCACCCCGCCTCGGTGGGATACGGCCAGTTTGTTGAAAAAAAAAAAAAAGTGTCCATACTTTTTTTTGGGGGGGTATATTCATGTGATACAAATATAGCAGATTCATATTCTAGGGTATGGAAAGCTATCAAAAAAATAACTTTTTTTTTTAACAAGTCGGCTGTCTCCCACCGAGGCAGGGTGACCCAAAAAGAAAGAAAATCCCCAAAAAGAAAATACTTTCATCATTCAACACTTTCACCTCACTCACACATAATCACTGTTTTTGCAGAAGTGCCCAGAATACAACAGTTTAGAAGTATATACATATAAAAATACACAATATATCACTCCAAACTGCCAATATCTCAAACCCCTCCTTTAGAGTGCATTTCCAGGACTCAAGTCTGGTTATACAAAATAACCGGTTTCCCTGAATCCCTTCACTAAATATTATCCTGCTCACACTCCAGCAGCTCGTCAGGTCCCAAATACCATTTGTCTCCATTCACTCCTATCTAACACGCTCACGGACGCTTGCTGGAAGTCCAAACCCCTCTCCCTCAACACCTCCTTTACCCCCTCCCTCCAACCTTTTCAAGGACAACCCCTACCCCACCTTCCTTCCCCTACAGATTTATACGCTCTCCATATCATTCTACTTTGATCCATTCTCTCTAAATGACCAAACCACCTCAACAAACCCTCTTCAGCCCTCTGACTAATACTTTTATTAACTCCACACCTCCTAATTTCCACACTCCGAATTTTCTGCATAATGTTTACACCACACATTGCCCTTAGACAGGACGTATCCACTGCCTCCAACCGCCTCCTCGCTGCAGCATTTACAACCCAAGCTTCACACCCATATAAAAGTGTTGGTACTACTATACTTTCATACATTCCCTTCTTTACCTCCATAGATGACATTTTTTGCCTCCACATATACCTCAATGCACCACTCACCTTTTTTCCTTCATCAATTCTATGATTAAGCTCATCCTTCATAAATCCATCCGCTGACACGTCAACTCCCAAATCTCTGAAAACATTCACTTCTTCCATACTCCTCCTCCCCAATTTGATATCCAATTTTTCTTTATCTAAATCATTTGGTTGGTAGACAGCAACCACCCAGGGAAGTACTACCATCCTGCCAGATGACTGTGAAACAGAAACCTGTAACTGTTTTGCATGATGGTAGGATTACTGGTTTCTTTTTCTGTCTCATAAACACGCTAGATAACAGGGATATCTTGCTACTCCTACTTACACTTTGGTCACACTTCACAGACACGCACATGCATATATATATATACGTACAGTGGACCCCCGAATAACGATCTTTTTTCATTCCAGAAGTATGTTCAGGTACCAGTACTGACCGAATTTGTTCCCATAAGGAATATTGTGAAGTAGATTAGTCCATTTCAGACCCCCAAACATACACGTACAAACGCACTTACATAAATACACTTACATAATTGGTCGCATTGGGAGGTGGTCGTTAAGCGGGGGTCCACTGTATACATACATCTAGGTTTTTCTCCTTTTTCTAAATAGCTCTTGTTCTTCTTTATTTCTTCTACTGTCCATGGGGAAGTGGAAAAGAATCTTTCCTCCGTAAGCCATGCGTGTCGTATGAGGCGACTAAAATGCCGGGAGCAATGGGCTAGTAACCCCTTCTCCTGTAGACATTTACTAAAAAAGAGAAGAAGAAAAACTTTATAAAACTGGGATGCTTGAATGTGCGTGGATGTAGTGCGGATGACAAGAAACAGATGATTGCTGATGTTATGAATGAAAAGAAGTTGGAAGTCCTGGCCCTAAGCGAAACAAAGCTGAAGGGGGTAGGGGAGTTTCGGTGGGGGGAAATAAATGGGATTAAATCTGGAGTATCTGAGAGAGTTAGAGCAAAGGAAGGGGTAGCAGTAATGTTGAAGGATCAGTTATGGAAGGGGGAAAAGAGAATATGAATGTGTAAATTCAAGAATTATGTGGATTAAAGTAAAGGTTGGATGCGAAAAGTGGGTCATAATAAGCGTGTATGCACCTGGAGAAGAGAGGAATGTAGAGGAGAGAGATTTTGGGAGATGTTAAGTGAATGTATAGGAGCCTTTGAACCAAGTGAGAGAGTAATTGTGGTAGGGGACCTAAATGCTGAAGTAGGAGAAACTTTTAGAGAGGGTGTGGTAGGTAAGTTTGGGGTGCCAGGTGTAAATGATAATAGGAGCCCTTTGATTGAACTTTGTATAGAAAGGGGTTTAGTTATAGGTAATACATATTTTAAGAAAAAGAGGATAAATAAGTATACAAGATATGATGTAGGGCAAAATGACAGTAGTTTGTTGGATTATGTATTGGTAGATAAAAGACTGTTGAGTAGACTTCAGGATGTACATGTTTATAGAGGGGCCACAGATATATCAGATCACTTTTTAGTTGTAGCTACACTGAGAGTAAAAGGTAGATGGGATACAAGGAGAATAGAAGCATCAGGGAAGAGAGAGGTGAAGGTTTATAAACTAAAAGAGGAGGCAGTTAGGGTAAGATATAAACAGCTATTGGAGGATAGATGGGCTAATGAGAGCATAGGCAATGGGGTCGAAGAGGTATGGGGTAGGTTTAAAAATGTAGTGTTGGAGTGTTCAGCAGAAGTTTGTGGTTACAGGAAGGTGGGTGCGGGAGGGAAGAGGAGCGACTGGTGGAATGATGATGTAAAGAGAGTAGTAAGGGAGAAAAAGTTAGCATATGAGAAGTTTTTACAAAGTAGAAGTGATGCAAGGAGAAAAAGAGAGAGGTTAAGAGAGTGGTGAAGCAATGTAAAAAGAGAGCAAATGAGAGTGTGGGTGAGATGTTATCAACAAATTTTGTTGAAAATAAGAAAAAGTTTTGGAGTGAGATTAACAAGTTAAGGAAGCCTAGAGAACAAATGGATTTGTCAGTTAAAAATAGGAGAGGAGAGTTATTAAATGGAGAGTTAGAGGTATTGGGAAGATGGAGGGAATATTTTGAGGAATTGTTAAATGTTGATGAAGATAGGGAAGCTGTGATTTCATGTATAGGGCAAGGAGGAATAACATCTTGTAGGAGTGAGGAAGAGCCAGTTGTGAGTGTGGGGAAAGTTCGTGAGGCAGTAGGTAAAATGAAAGGGGTAAGGCAGCCGGGATTGATGGGATAAAGATAGAAATGTTAAAAGCAGGTGGGGACATAGTTTTGGAGTGGTTGGTGCAATTATTTAATAAATGTATGGAAGAGGGTAAGGTACCTAGGGATTGGCAGAGAGCATGCATAGTTCCTTTGTATAAAGGCAAAGGGGACAAAAGAGAGTGCAAAAATTATAGGGGGATAAGTTTGTTGAGTGTACCTGGTAAAGTGTATGGTAGAGTTATTATTGAAAGAATTAAGAGTAAGACGGAGAATAGGATAGCAGATGAACAAGGAGGCTTTAGGAAGGGTAGGGGGTGTGTGGACCAGGTGTTTACAGTGAAACACATAAGTGAACAGTATTTAGAAAAGGCTGAAGAGGTCTTTGTGGCATTTATGGATTTGGAAAAGGCGTATGACAGGGTGGATAGGGGGGCAATGTGGCAGATGTTGCAGGTGTATGGTGTAGGAGGTAGGTTACTGAAAGCAGTGAAGAGTTTTTACGAGGATAGTGAGGCTCAAGTTAGAGTATGTAGGAAAGAGGGAAATTATTTCCCAGTAAAAGTAGGCCTTAGACAAGGATGTGTGATGTCACTGTGGTTGTTTAATATATTTATAGATGGGGTTGTAAGAGAAGTAAATGCGAGGGTCTTGGCAAGAGGCGTGGAGTTAAAAGATAAAGAATCACACAAAGTGGGAGTTGTCACAGTTGCTCTTTGCTGATGACACTGTGCTCTTTGGAGATTCTGAAGAGAAGTTGCAGAGATTGGTGGATGAATTTGGTAGGGTATGCAAAAGAAGAAAATTAAAAGTGAATACAGGAAAGAGTAAGGTTATGAGGATAACAAAAAGATTAGGTGATGAAAGATTGGATATCAGATTAGAGGGAGAGAGTATGGAGGAGGTGAATGTATTCAGATATTTGGGAGTGGACGTGTCAGCGGATGGGTCTATGAAAGATGAGGTGAATCATAGAATTGATGAGGGGTAAAGGGTGAGTGGTGTACTTAGGAGTCTGTGGAGACAAAGAACTTTGTCCTTGGAGGCAAAGAGGGGAATGTATGAGAGTATAGTTTTACCAACGCTCTTATATGGGTGTGAAGCATGGGTGATGAATGTTGCAGCGAGGAGAAGGCTGGAGGCAGTGGAGATGTCATGTCTGAGGGCAATGTGTGGTGTGAATATAATGTAGAGAATTCGTAGTTTGGAAGTTAGGAGGTGCAGGATTACCAAAACTGTTGTCCAGAGGGCTGAGGAAGGGTTGTTGAGGTGGTTCGGACATGTAGAGAGAATGGAGCGAAACAGAATGACTTCAAGAGTGTATCAGTCTGTAGTGGAAGGAAGGCGGGGTAGGGGTTGGCCTAGGAAAGGTTGGAGGGAGGGGGTAAAGGAGGTTTTGTGTGCGAGGGGCTTGGACTTCCAGCAGGCATGCGTGAGCGTGTTTGATAGGAGTGAATGGAGACAAATGGTTTTTAATACTTGACGTGCTGTTGGAGTGTGAGCTAAGTAACATTTATGAAGGGGTTCAGGGAAACCAGCAGGCCGGACTTGAGTCCTGGAGATGGGAAGTACAGTGCCTGCACTCTGAAGGAGGGGTGTTAATGTTGCAGTTTAAAAACTGTAGTGTAAAGCACCCTTCTGGCAAGACAGTGATGGAGTGAATGATGGTGAAAGTTTTTCTTTTTCGGGCCACCCTGCCTTGGTGGGAATCGGCCAGTGTGATAATAAAAAATAAATAATAATCACCTTACTCTTTTCTATGGTCACTTTCAACTTTCTACCTTTACACACACTCCCAAATTCGTCCACTAACCTTTGCAATTTTTCTTTAGAATCTCCCATAAGCACAGTATCAGCAAAAAGTAACTGTGTCACTTCCCATTTTGCATTTAATTCCCCATAATTTTCTCAGTTTTTTAAGACATTGGCTGAAAAAGAAACACTTTTTACCATCATTCACATTATCACTGTCTTCCCACAGGTGTGCACATACAACAGTTTAGGTGCCTCTCCAAACAATAAATATTTCTAATCTCACTGTACTTCCCATGTCAGTTATTTTTATCAAATGCACTAATCATTTGCATTTGAAAGTTTGATGCATGTGTGGTGTGCTCATAATGTTTTGGTAAAAGTCAGACAAAAAATGTTGATTTTATAAGCACAACAGTTTCATAAGAGCTTCAGAAATTCAGTAGTTCAGAAAGACCTCAGCCCAACTCTATGCCATATATGTAGTGCCCCACTATATGTAAAAGTGAACATAAATGTAGATAAATATAAAAAGAAAATGTAAATACAGGTAAACTTGAGAGGGGAATTTGAAAGGAGATATACGGTAGTGTACATTCAAACATTCATCAGCCAAATCTCACCTGATAATATGTTAGCAATGGTACGATGAAGCGCAGCATAAAGAGCATCAGTGCACAAAGCATAAATATCAGCACCAGTGAGCGTTAAGGGCAACATCTCTGCGATGTTTGTCAGTGACACACTTGACTCCATTGGTATCCTGAAACGTAAAGGTCTGGACTAGTGAGGGTTAACAGCAACACCTCTGTAATGTTCACCAGCAACACACTCAATTCCAGATGTAACCTCAGTTTTTGCATAAGGAAGCAGGATCATCTACTTCCACCATGGTTCAATTTTGTCAGCAACACCTGATGTAGTATACTGCAGCAGCCACTGCACATCTGTTTGCCCTGGGAACACCCTAAACTGGGAAGAGTCACTATTGTCTTTGCATAACAGTCAGGTGTTTTGAAAGTGTAACTTCACCTGCTTCCTTTTGGATCAAAGTGAAAAAATACCCTAAACTTTCTGCAACTGCTCTAAGAACCCTTCTTCCCTTTCCTTCAACATACCTCTGTTAGACTGTGAATGGATATTCAATCCCCACTGCACATGTCACTGTCCTCAATCAAGCTATGACTTGATAAGCTGGTAAATTAAAAGTTGGCTCAACTTCAGCATCAATCAAGTTAGATGTTTTAACATGCCTACTGAATAAATATTAGTAACTTTTTATTATTTTTCTTAACTGAATGTCATATACTGTTTTAACATTGTCAATAAAATATATAATTTTCCCCAAGTTAGCAACACTACATTGGTTCATGGCAAATGGGAAAACAAACTGTCAGTCTGCCACATCAGACAGTTTGAGAAGTGCTGATAAAGAGAGTAGAAAATGAAGGAGCAAACCACAAAGATGGTTTACTATGTAATATAAACAGCTGATATTATGCTTTCTCCATGGAAAAGTGGAGAAGAATCCTTCCACATATGGACCAATATACTAGCCCCCCCTTAAATCAGGGATAATCACAGATAGCACTACAGACCACTACCCTACCTTCCTCCTGACAAACATTAGTAAACCACCACTTGAATTCAACAAAGTCTCATTTAGACTCCATGACGAGGCCTCAATAAGGAAGTTCACAGCTGACCTAGAGATTGTTGACTGGCCTACAGAATTCTCCAAGGCCAATGGTATTGATGACTGGACAGACATTTTTCTTAACAAATTACTTAGACTATACAACAAACATTGTCCTATAAAAACGAAACAGATCACAAACAAACGGCTTGGTTGCCCATGGCTAACTAGTACCATTCTGAAATCCATTGACAAGAAACACCAATATGAAAAGCAATATAGACAGGGCTTAATACACAAAGATATTCTTAAACACTATTCATCAGTTCTCACCAAAGTAATAAAGAAAGCCAAACAACTATACTACTCCAGTAGATTCACAGACACTAGAGGAGATATAAAAAAGACCTGGAAAACACTCTCTCAGATTCTAGGGACCCACAAACTGAAAAAAAAAAAAATATTGTCCTAACTAAACCTAATGAAACACCACTACATCCCACTGACACAGCTAACAAGATAAACGACTTCTTCTCAACCATAGGATTTAATCTCGCCAATAAAATCCCACATACCAATGCCCATGCCGGGGACTACCTAGATGGGAATTTCCCAAATTCCTTCTATCTTGCACCAACTGAGCCCTCGGAAGTCACCGAGATTATAAAGTCACTTAAAAACAACTCAGGGAATCTCTCTAATGTCCCACCATTACTGTACAAGCGAGCGGCCCATATCCTTTCGCATGCTATTTCATTACTTATTAACAAGTCACTAGAAACTAGCACCTTCCCGAAACTACTCAAGATGGCAAGGGTTACACCAATACATAAAGGTGGTGACCCTACAGACTTAAACAACTATAGGCCAATATCAAACTTACCATTGCTATCCAAAATCTTTGAGAAACTCGTGCACAGGAGACTATATTCATTTATAACAACACAAAACATACTCAACCCCTGCCAATTTGGATTCAGGAAAAATAAAAGCACTAATGATGCAATCATAAAAATGCTAGATCTGCTTTACACAGCATTGGAAAATAAGGAATATCCACTAGGAATTTTTATTGACCTAAGAAAAGCTTTTGACACAGTAGACCACGACATCCTACTCCACAAACTTGACCATTACGGTATAAGAGGCCATGCGCTTGCTTATTTCAAATCTTACATTACTAATAGGTATCAGTATGTCACCATTAAAGACACAGCATCAACAACATGGCCACTTGATACTGGAGTTCCGCAGGGAAGTGTCCTTGGTCCCCTGCTCTTCCTCATATACATCAATGATCTTCCAAACGTATCCCAACACCTGAAACCCTTTCTCTTTGCTGACGACACGACTTATGTCATCTCTCACCTTAATCTTGCCACCCTCAACACCATTGTTAATGAGGAGCTGATCAAAATATCGACTTGGATGACAGCCAATAAACTTACGCTTAACACTGACAAAACCTACTATATTATGTTTGGTAGCAGAGCAGGAGATGCATAAATTAACATTAAGATCGACAACACCCTAATTACCAGACATAATGAGGGCAAATTCCTAGGCCTATACCTTGACAACAACCTGAATTTCAGCACCCATATCCAACACATAACCAAAAAAGTATCCAAAACGGTTGGGATCCTCTCCAAGATACGATACTACGTGCCGCAAACTGCCCTTATCACACTATACCATTCACTTATATATCCATACCTCACCTATGCTATTTGTGCTTTGGGGATCAACTGCAGCAACACACCTAAAGCCAATAATAACCCAACAAAAAGCTGCAGTAAGAATAATCACTAACTCCCATCCCTGCAACACACCCCCCCCACTCTCATAGATCTAAACTTACTCCCTGTTCAGTACATCCACACTTACTACTGTGCAATCTACATCTACAGGACCTTAAACTCCAATATCAACTTTGACCTAAAACGCTTTCTTGATAGTTGTGACAGAACCCACAGGCATAACACCAGACACAAACATCTCTACGACATTCCCCGTGTCCGACTAAACCTTTACAAAAATTCAATGTATGTCAAAGGCCCTAAAATCTGGAACACCCTACCTGAGAACTCTAGAACTGCAGACACATTCATCACTTTCAAAACTACCATTAGAAAACATCTTATCTCCCTGATAAACCCCATCAACTAACTGCACGAATACCACCTGGTGGTTCACACTTACACTCACTCACCCATTTGACCATAAACAGAAATATTAATCTCAATCTTAAAATAATGAATCCTATGATACTCCAATACTGAAACTATGTACTGTGCCAAAACAAAAGCATTCACATTGCTAAACTCACAAACTAGTATTTAGTCACTTAGCCATGATACCAACTTACCTCATAATTTGTAATATTTTAAAATAAAAAATTAAACTAAGTCTGCCCGAAATGCCTAGCCATGCTAGGCGTTCTAGTGGTACACTCTGTAATCATTATTTAACTACATGTAAACCACACAACAACCAAATTCTGTAAATTCAACATTGTAATCTTTATAGAGAATAAACTTTGAATTGAATTGAATTGAATTGAATTCCTCCATAAGCCATGTGTGTGTGTCATAAGATGAAAATAAATGGTATAAAATACCGACAATATGGAAACATTGTTTGTGACTTGAAAAAGCCCACTGTGTGGGTGAAACGTTGTCAATAAAGGATCACATTAAACTGCATATGTGTTTGTATGTCATAAGAGTCGATTAAAATGCTAGGAGCAAGGGACTAATATCCCCTTCTCCTGTATACATTACAAAATGTAAAGATAAGGAAAAGCTTTCATTACTTCTTTTTCAGGTCACCCTGCCTCAGTGGGAGATGGCCAGTGTGTTTTTTCTTTACACTTTATGTGAAGCACAAAACTCATTAGGGCTAGTCAGCACAGGGACTGGTAAATCTCAATCCACCACCAGTTAATTACATTACAGAAATTATATTTAACTGTACTTTTAAAACTCTCCATAACCTACGAAAAGAAGGAAGTTACTTAAGATAATGTGAAGTGAAAGCAAACAGTTGTAATCTTTAACCCATAAACGGTCCAAGCAGATCTATGTTCACATATGTAATGCTCCAAAAGTAGATCTACTTTTTTTTTTTACATATTTTCAAATATAACAAAAAAAAAGCAAATCAAAGTTTTTTACACATTTTCAAATGTAAAAAACAAAAAGAAGATCTACTTTTTTTACATACTTTCAAATGTTGAAAAAACGTATATACAGTGGACCCCCGCATAACGATCACCTCTGAATGCGACCAATTATGTAAGTGTATTTATGTAAGTGCATTTGTACGTGTATGTTTGGGGGTCTGAAATAGACTAATCTACTTCACAATATTCCTTATGGGAACAAATTCGGTCAGTACTGGCACCTGAACATACTTCTGGAGAGAAAAAATATCGTTAACCGGGGGTCCACTGTATACGTTTGGACCGTTTACAGGTTAATATCATACACAAACACCAGTTAACAAAGATACAACAGAAGCAAACTGTATCATCTACTCACTTGCATGTAACAGCTTTCAAAATTTTGATCTGACTGTCACGGTCTTTGCAAACACCCAGGAACACAAGTTTCTCAAATCTGCAACAATACCACAAAAGGTAAACACCACATAGATATTTTTTTTTTTTCAACAAGTCGACCGTCTCCCACCAAGGCAGGGCGACCCAAAAAAGAAAGAAAATCCCCAAAAAGAAAATACTTTCATCATCATTCAACACTTTCACCACACTCACACATTATCACTGTTTTTGCAGAGGTGCTCAGAATACAACAGTTTAGAAGCATATACGTATAAAGATACACAACACATCCCTCCAAACTGCCAATATCCCAAACCCCTCCTTTAAAGTGCAGGCATTGTACTTCCCATTTCCAGGACTCAAGTCCGACTATATGAAAATAACCGGTTTCCCTGAATCCCTTCACTAAATATTACCCTGCTCACACTCCAACAGATCGTCAGGTCCCAAGTATCATTCATCTCCATTCACTCCTATCTAACACGCTCACGCAAGCTTGCTGGAAGTCCAAGCCCCTTGCCCACAAAACCTCCTTTACCCCCTCTCTCCAACCCTTTCGAGGATGACCCCTACCCCTCCTTCCTTCCCCTATAGATTTATATGCTTTCCATGTCATTCTACTTTGATCCATTCTCTCTAAATGACCAAACCACCTCAACAAACCCTCTTCTGCCCTCTGACTAATGCTTTTATTAACTCCACACCTTCTCCTAATTTCCACACTCCGAATTTTCTGCATAATATTTACACCACACATTGCCCTTAGACAGGACATCTCCACTGCCTCCAACCGTCTCCTCGCTGCTGCATTTACCACCCAAGCTTCACATCCACATAAGAGTGTTGGTACTACTATACTTTCATACATTCCCTTCTTTGCCTCCATAGATAACGTTTTTTGACTCCACATACACCTCAACGCACCACTCACCTTTTTTCCCTCATCAATTCTATGATTAACCTCATCCTTCATAAATCCATCCGCCGACACGTCAACTCCCAAGTACATATCTGAAAACATTCACTTCTTCCATACTCCTCCTCCCCAATTTGATATCCAATTTTTCTTTATCTAAATCATTTGATACCCTCATCACCTTACTCTTTTCTATGTTCACTTTCAACTTTCTACCTTTACACACATTCCCAAACTCATCCACTAACCTTTGCAATTTTTCTTTAGAATCTCCCATAAGCACAGTATCATCAGCAAAAAGTAACTGTGTCAATTCCAATTTTGAATTTGATTCCCCATAATTTAATCCCACCCCTCTCCCGAACACCCTAGCATTTACTTCTTTTACAACCCCATCTATAAATATATTAAATAACCATGGTGACATTACACATCCCTGTCTAAGACCTACTTTTACCGGGAAGTATTCTCCCTCTCTTCTACACACCCTAACTTGAGCCTCACTATCCTCATAAAAACTCTTAACAGCATTTAGTAACTTACCACCTATTCCATATACTTGCAACATCTGCCACATTGCTCCTCTATCCGCTCTATCATATGCCTTTTCTAAATCCATAAATGCAATAAAAACTTCCCTACCTTTATCTAAATACTGTTCACATATATGCTTCAATGTAAACACTTGATCTACACATCCCCTACCCACTCTGAAGCCTCCCTGCTCATCCACAATCCTACATTCTGTCTTACCTCTAATTCTTTCAATTATAACCCTACCGTATACTTTTCCTGGTATACTCAGTAAACTTATTCCTCTATAATTTTTACAATCTCTTTTGTCCCCTTTCCCTTTATATAAAGGGACTATACATGCTCTCCGCCAATCCCTAGGTACCTTCCCCTCTTTCATACATTTATTAAACAAAAATACCAACCACTCCAACACTATATCCCCCCCTGCTTTTTACATTTCTATCATGATCCCATCAGTTCCAGCTGCTTTACCCCCTTTCATTCTACGTAATGCCTCACGTACCTCCACCACACTTACATTCTGCTCTTCTTCACTCCTAAAAGATGGTATACCTCCCTGGCCAGTGCATGAAATTACCACCTCTCTTTCTTCCTCAACATTTAAAAGTTCCTCAAAATATTCTCGCCATCTACCTAATACCTCCCTCTCCCCATCTACTAACTCCCCTACTCTGTTTTTAACTGACAAATCCATACTTTCCCTAGGCTTTCTTAACTTGTTTAACTCACTCCAAAAATTTTTCTTATTTTCATTAAAATTTCTTGACAGTGCCTCTCCCACTCTATCATCTGCTCTCCTTTTGCACTCTCTCACCACTCTCTTCACCTTTCTTTTACTCTCCATATACTCTGCTCTTCTTATAACACTTCTGCTTTGTAAAAACCTCTCATAAGCTACTTTTTTCTCTTTTATCACACCCTTTACTTCATCATTCCACCAATCACTCCTCTTTCCTCCTGCCCCCACCCTCCTATAACCACAAACTTCTGCCCCACATTCTAATACTGTTCTAAAACTATTCCAACCCTCTTCAACCCCCCCACTACTCATCTTTGCACTAGCCCACCTTTCTGCCAATAGTCGCTTATATCTCACCCGAACTTCCTCCTCCCTTAGTTTATACACTTTCACCTCCCTCTTACTTGTTGTTGCCACCTTCCTCCTTTCCCATCTACCTCTTACTCTAACTGTAGCTACAACTAAATAATGATCTGATATATCAGTTGCCCCTCTATAAACATGTACATCCTGGAGCCTACCCATCAACCTTTTATCCACCAATACATAATCTAACAAACTACTTTCATTACGTGCTACATCAAACCTTGTATATTTATTTATCCTCTTTTTCATAAAATATGTATTACTTATTACCAAATTTCTTTCTACACATAGCTCAATTAAAGGCTCCCCATTTACATTTACCCCTGGCACCCCAAATTTACCTACTACTCCCTCCATAACATTTTTACCCACTTTACCCACTTTAGCATTGAAATCCCCAACCACCATTACTCTCACACTTGATTCAAAACTCCCCACGCATTCACTCAACATTTCCCAAAATCTCTCTCCTCTACACTTCTCTCTTCTCCAGGTGCATACACGTTTACTATAACCCACTTTTCACATAGATATAGTTTAAGAAAATTACAATATAAAAAAACTAGCAAATATGAACAGAAAGCTAAAAAAGCTATACTATATGCGATACAATGAGCAGAAAATCTTAGACTGTTGATGACAGCAGGTAATCTAACAAAGGGTCATCAGTGAACCAGTGTTACAAGTGTGTTACGAATGATGTGTGTTAGTAATGTATATATGTATATGCTAATGTTTCCGGAGGCCATGGCCCTAATGGTCCAGTCTCGGATCAGGCTTTATAAATTGGAAAAATATTGCAGGAATAAGAACTCTTAATAAACACATACACAAAAAAATATAAATAGTTGCATACTGAATGCAAGTATAAGTCTATAAGAGTTATCTGTTATCTTACATGTTCATGAGGCAAACAAGAAAGGATGAGCAGTCCTATCAAGAGTGCAAAATATTTAAAAGAAAGACGTCAAACTTAGGACAGGAGGTTACTACTGTACCTCCTTGGGTGCTTATTGTTTACCAATCAACTTCCTATGCTGTGTGTTGGGAATGTTGTAGTCATTGTGAATAAACTGGTATTAAAAAAGAAAACTATGAATAGACACCCTTAAGTTTATTATACTTTACACTTGTAACCTTGATGAAAACTTCCTTTAATGAAATTTAAATAAAGTAATGTGAATGCAAGGGTAAAACTATTGCACAGTAATACAATCAGTACCACTGTTACACATTCTTACCAGAGAAATATTGTACGTACAGTAATACCTTTATGTGATGTAAGTTGAACCCTTAAACTGTCCAAACAGATTTACGTTCACATGCGTAGTGCTCCAAAAGTAGATCTACGGTTTTTTTACATATTTTCAAATATGACAAAAAAAAAAAAGTAGATCAAAGTTTTTTACATGTTTTCAAATGTAAAAAAAAAAAAAAATCTACGTTTTTTTACATGCTTTCAAATGTTGAAAAAATGTAGATCTACGTTTGGGCAGTTTAAGGGTTAAGCATACGGTTCAAGGACAACTTAAACCCTTTACTGCCGGCTCACCTCCCAGGACGAAGGAGTGCAGGATCAATGAGATCTGGTCGATTTGTAGCAGCCAAAACAAACACATCAGCTGCACTTGCTACACCATCTAATTCTGCCAACAAAGCTGACACAATCCTGTCATGAAAATATTACAATTATAAATTTTTTATTCAAAATTTTAGGATACCACTAAGTATTTTACAAACATACCCTGTTAAATATAGGGACTGCATTCATGGGAAAGTATATGATGCAACTAACAATGCACACTGTGCATTATAATAGCAACATTCATCAAATGGGAGTGGTCTTGTTGGTGGATGGGTATATGAAAGATGAGATGAACCACAGAAATGATGAGGGGGGGGATAAAAAAAAAAAAAAAGGTGGGTGGTGCATTAAAGAATCTGTGGAGACTATTCATGAAGGCAAAAAGGGAAATTTGTCAGTAACTATTACCAAGGTTTATATCAAAAAGGGGAATGTACCAGAATACAGTGGTATCAACACTGTCATATGAGTGCAAAGCACACATTTTAAAAGTTGCAGCAAGGAGTAGGAAGAGGATAACATGAGGGTGAAGAATTAAGTATTGATGACCTGACTGAGATTACTACAGTTGCTGATGAGCCTGTAACTTATCTATCACATACAGTGAGGAATGCCTATAGCTGGATGGTAGTTCCAAAAACACAACAAGTTACCTGTCCATAACTCCACCAGAGTCACCAGATTGTCCACGATTGGGGGCCAATGAATCCAACTCATCAAAGAATATTACACAGGGAGCAGCAGCCCGAGCTCGAGCAAACACTGCAGGTGAAGAAATCATAATACCAGTACTATAATTATGAACAATTTTCATAATGCAGTGCTAATTTTCTTAGAGCTAATTACAAAAAATATAGATAATATTGCTAATAATATTTGCTAAGAGTAAAAGAATGCCAAAAGTGTAGGATATGCCAACCAGATAAACTCTAAAATGAAATTCTAGAGAAAACACAAAAGCTAAATGGGTATATCTGAGGCTGGATATGGATCATATAATACAAGCAAAAAAAGTAATAAAAATGACTTAAGAGTGGTGGTATGTGTGGAATGGTGGTAACTGGTGGGAAAGGAGCTGTGAAAAATGTTGATTATACTATAATACAAAAATCCTAATTAAATTTAATAATTTTTTTAAACACACCAGCCGTCTCCTACCGAGGCAAGGTGACCTGAAAAATGTGAGGTCTAAATATGGAAAAGCCCATATGGTCAACTGAAAAGAATTATTCCCTGTAAGCCTATTGACATCTTGCATAATCTAAAATAAATTATGCACAAGGATAAAAGAGTTATCATGACTGACCTTGGCGCACATTCTCCTCACTCTGCCCAACATACATATTAAGCAGTTCAGGGCCTTTCACTGACATGAAATTCAGACCACATTCTGTAGCCACTGCTTTAGCCAAGAGAGTTTTCCCAGTCCCAGGTGGGCCATACAACAGCACTCCTGTAAGAATTATAGTGTACTCTATTATTCTCTAAGAATTAGTATACTGCAATACTAGATACAGATTAAAGAAAGGAGATAGAAAAATAGCCATACAGTAAAATAAAGAGAAACAGTATTTTTGTAATTCACCCACATCAACTGTAATTATTGTTTCAATAATTACTGAACAATATCTAACAAGAAAATAAGAGCACCCCAATTTTTTTTTTTTTAACAAGTCAGCCGTCTCCCACCGATGAATTTTATTAACCCTTAAATGGTCCAAACGTATATATACGTTTTTTCAACACCTGAAAGTATGTAAAAAATGTAGATCTTTTTTTTGTTTTACATTTGAAAACATGTAAAAAACTTTTATCAATATTTTTTTTTGTTATATTTGAAAATATGTAAAAAAAAGTAGACCTACTTTTGTAGCACTACAAATCTGAATGTCGATCTCTTTGGACCGTTTAATAAGGGTTAAAATAACAAAAAAAAAATCCATAATCACCAATAAATGAATATTTATAAGCTTGATACGTCTTTCTAAACGAGTCCCATAAATTCCAGCAAAACCCATTGTTGCAGAGCTGTACACTCAGACTTGCTTGGCATTGTGTTACACAAGCACATGCAGCATAAGCCTTGGACACTCATGGGACAGGACTGTCTAGTCACCCCACCATCCCCTATAATCATTTAATTTACAGTTTTCCATCCATTTCTACCAAACAATGAAGAATTACACATATGTGCAGCACCTGGCAATGTTTATTTTGAAGAAATTTCACCAACCAGTAACTTTATCAATTTAGTAGAAAGCTTATTAATTGGCAACTGCTGAAGATGAGGTAATCAGTCCCTTTGCCAACTAATAAGTTCTGTATTGAAAAAATCTTCAAACTAAAGAAACCCAAGTATGGTACACTGTCTAATTCATCAACATGTTGGTAGTGTATACCATTAATGTTATGATCTATCAAATAGATATCAACCCACTACACATGCAAAATATTATGCAAAAGTAGTAATGCACTGGGTAAGAGGAAAAATCATTTCTGGAAACTATCTTAAAAAGCTGCATTAATTACTGTCACAATTTTTGACCAATATCTAGCAAGTAAAATATTAGCTTGCAATACTATTTCACCTTTAGTCACCATTTCAACATTATGTATTCTAATATTCCTTAGGGCTGAGTTGCCTTTTTCTTTTCTGGCAGGCAGCCTAGTTTGGTCATACTTTCTTTAAAGTATTGCTCAGTTTGAACAATACCAATTATGAATTTCCTCACGTCTCTATAGTGATTTTTTTTTTAACATATCGGCCATCTGCCACCGAGGCAGGATATATAGTGAGGGTATCCTGGGGGTCAACGCCCCTGCGGCCCAGTCCATGACCAGGCCTCATGCGGTCTAAAAAGAAAACCAAAAGTTTTTTGTTTTACATTTAGTAATTCATTCAGGAGAAGGAGTTACTAGCCCTTTGCTCCTGGCATTTTAGTCATCTCTTATGACACGCATAGCTTACAAAGGAAGGATTCTTTTCCACTTCCCCATGGAGTGAATTTTTTTTATTCACAAATAGTACTGGGAATGAATAATTAATGTGTTACAACCACTGGGGACTAAATATTTCATGACAACCCAAATAAACACTGAAGACAAGACACCAATGCACACTGTTAATCAGCTGCAACTCATCAAGAGATGAAGGGAAATGGAACAGGTAACAAATATGTAGATGATTTTACAACACCTATTTTCTGAGAAGACAGTTGTGAACTGTCATCTCACGTTCTCTTCTTGATACTACTAAGAAATCTTTTTGAGCTATCGGACATTTTTTTATAAGCCTATAGGGCAGACGTGGCCTACCTATGGCTCGCATGTTACAAGCAACTTTCTCAGCATATTCAATGCTGAGACTATTTTAGCTCATTCTATGCAACTCAACAGCCACATATGACTATTTCAGTCTATTAAATATGGTTCACAAGCCACAAGTGACTATTTTAGCTCATTCAGTATGGCTCACCAGCAACAAGTGATAATTTCACCTCATTCAATGCAGCTCACCAGCCACAAAAGACTATTTTAGCTCATTCATTGCAGTTCTTGACATAAATAAAATCTTAGGATTTTTCATTAAAAACTAGCTAAAAAATTTAGAGACTTTTTGGATATTATTGAATTTTTTCACTGTACATTTGCTAAATCACATTGTCTCTTGTTCATCTTGGTTTTTAGTTTTAATATATTTAACCCTTAAACGATCCAAACAGATCGATGTTCAAATTCGTAGTGCTACAAAAGTAGATCTACTTTTTTTACATATTTTCAAATATAACAAAAAAAAAAATGTAGATAAAAGTTTTTTTACACGTTTTCAAATGTAAAACAAAAAAGAAGATCTACATTTTATTACATACTTTCAGATGTTGAAAAAACGTATATATACGTTTGAACCATTTAAGGGCTAAAAGAAACAATGAGCCCTAGTTATATATATGTAGGCCCTATATAAAAAGTTATCCATATCTTGCAGCTTTCCACTATTTGATAAATGTTGTGTGTGGCTCTTAGTTCATGAAGGTTTGGCCATCTTTTACAGAGTACAGGTATGTGGTTACTGTCCTCTTTTCTCCTCCCCTTAACCAATGAGGGGATTCTCAGTGTTTTGTTTGACCAGTGAGGTATTTTATCTATATATTTTTTATCTATAAACTTTGTCAGCCAAAGCAGCACTGTACATATCTCATAATCAACTTGAAAGAATCTTTCATTTTATTACACCTTGTAGCATAATTACTTCAGTTTGTCCTAACTTGCCTGAGCGACGAAGTCTGCTGGACACGAGGGAGGGATAACGAAGAGGCAACTGAATAGTGTTGATGATTTGCCGCTTAGCATCTTCTAAGCCTCCAACTTCTTTCCACTGCACTTCTGGAATGCGTGGTGCTCCCAAAGCTTCACTACGAACTGATTGTAACTCATCTATAAATACAACAAAAAAGGTGTGAAAATACTAGCTTTTTTTTGGTCTTCCCACATGCCACATATATTCTTATCAAACAAAAAAAGTTCTGTTAATTATTTATCTATAAATGGTAAAAAGAAACCACATGATTCAGCACTTTAGCAGTGTTTCAACCTTACCATGCAAGGTTGAAACATAGTACAGTGGACCCCCGCATAACGATCACCTCCCAATGCGACCAATTATGTAAGTGTATTTATGTAAGTGCGTTTGTACATGTATGATTGGGGGTCTGAAATGGACTAATCTATTTCACAATATTCCTTATGGGAACAAATTCAGTCAGTACTGGCACCTGAACATACTTCTGGAATGAAAAAATATCGTTAACTGGGGGTCCACTGTACATGTATATATTATTTATTTTAATTTCTGATTTGTATCTATGCAAGTTTGTGCCACTGACCAATGTTTATCATACATCTGTGTTTCTGTCAACTTGATTCAACTTTCAACTGAAATGAGATAGAACAAGGACACCAATCCCCACTATGACATCCAATGCAAAGAATGTGATTGCATAAACTTGTAAATAACATACCTAGAGCTTTAAGCAGATCAGTGTACAGTAATGGCACATCTTTTCTACTGTCAGCATCAATACTGTTATAAAAATCTTCCAACTGGTCATCCTCCTTTGATGTTACACGCTGTAGATAGTGTCTGCAAGAGAAGTGATTTTTGGGACATGACATACCAGAATATGAGAAAGGTACTGTGAAGGTATATGGGAAGACTGGTCAACCAGACTTCAGTTTTACAGGTGGGAAATATAATGTCTGCACAGTGAAGGATGGGTGGGGCTGTTGCAATTTGAAGGGCAATGTGTGGTGTAAATATTATGCAGAAAATTCGGAGTGTGGAAATTAGGAGAAGGTGTGGAGTTAATAAAAGTATTAGTCAGAGGGCAGAAGAGGGGTTGTTGAGGTGGTTTGGTCATTTAGAGAGAATGGATCACAGTAGAATGACATGGAAAGCATATAAATCTATAGGGGAAGGAAGGCGGGGTAGGGGTCGTCCTCGAAAGGGTTGGAGAGAGGGGGTAAAGGAGGTTTTGTGGGTAAGGGGCTTGGACTTCCAGCAAGCGTGCGTGAGCGTGTTAGATAGGAGTGAATGGAGACGAATGGTACTTGGGACCTGACGATCTGTTGGAGTGTGAGCAGGGTAATATTTAGTGAAGGGATTCAGGGAAACCGGTTATTTTCATATAGTCGGACTTGAGCCCTGGAAATGGGAAGTACAATGCCTGCACTTTAAAGGAGGGGTTTGGGATATTGGCAGTTTGGAGGGATATGTTGTGTATCTTTATATGTTTATGCTTCTAGACTGTTGTATTCTGAGCACCTCTGCAAAAACAGTGATAATGTGCGAGTGTGGTGAAAGTGTTGAATGATGATGAAAGTATTTTCTTTTTGGGGATTTTCTTTCTTTTTTGGGTCACCCTGCCTCGGTGGGAGACGGCCGACTTGTTGAAAAAAAAAAAAAAAAAAAAAAAAAAATTTGAATTATGATGTCTGAGCACTTCTGGCAGGCCAACTACTGAATGAACGATGGTGAATTTGTTGCCTTCCTTGGGTCACCCTGACTTAGTACAAAGCAGCTGATGTGGCTATGACATAAGGAAAAAGACAGAAATCCTGCCAGAGTCCAGAATGTTTTACACTTAAATGAGAGGTCAATTGTACCTCCCCGGATAGTTGCTGTTTATCAATCTATCAATTTCTTTCAATGCAGGACACTAAATTATTGATAAACCAACAGGTGCACAATTTAATATTGGGTGAGCCAAACATACGGTATGTGCAGGTCTCCTGACACCTGCTGCCCGTTCATCTAATATAGTGGTAAATACATAAAAAAGATTGGTAAACTGTTTTGGGTTGCATCCTGGGAACTGGTTCAATGCATGGCTTGGGGAACCTTCATAAGCAATGAGCTTATTGTTCCCTACACTGGAATACTATTCTTCAACTGTTAGGAGTCATTTATCAGATTCTACTGTATTTGAGAAGATGCCAAGTAATCATCCTGATAATATTATGTCAGAAACTACCATAAGTGGCCTTACTACTTATGTTGACAATATATAACACTAGTGCATAAAGATGTAGGCCATTTTGAAAATACTACTTTAAAGTATCAAAGCACAATACATCTTATAATTTTTTTTTCAACCCAGGCCACTGGGCCAGCTGGCCAATGCCATGGTTTGTCTACAACTGTGTTATTTCGATTTTGTGAGTCATAACCCTTCACATCCTATGCCCTTCCTTTACTCCTTGTAAAGATAGTTTAGTTATTAATTCAAACCAACCTGTGAGCTGCATTAATAAGTGCCTGAAAATCACCGAGGACATAACCAGCAGTGCGTTGAGCCACAGTCTGTGTCTGTACTGCAGGAAGCCACTTAGAGAGTAGCCAGTCCAGCATAATGGTTCTTTCCCTTAGACTTGGTACTTCTATACTCTCCTGGTAACTAAACACACTCCACAGATCATCTGTAATAATACATCCTTCCATAGTGTCTTGAAGTACACAGTTTGTGACAACAAACACTCATCATTACTGTTGACCTGCATTTCAGATCACAGAATATTAGGTGCAAAATTGAATGGATCCAGATTCAATTCCTGCGCAAAGTCAGATGGATAGGCAAATTTCCTCACGCCTCCTGAGTGTTAGTTAATTACTGAGTCTCATCTTGAGGAAAAAGCAAATAATAATAATGAATATGGTCATCTTGAGCACTACTCTGTTTGTGTAACTAACCAATAATAATCACATCCTCAGTCAAATCATCATGCTCAAATATAAAATGGTCCTTACATAGTCTTGATTATGAAAATCGTATTCTTACTGTTTTTTGCACTAAGCAAATTATATTATAGAAAATCAGTGGAACTGTGTTTTACCAAAGCTCAGTTAAGGTTATGACACAGAGAGTTGACTGGCAATTCCTCTAAGCAATAACCTCATACTAAATTTTGCTGTTTACCTGAGAGTGAGGTGCGATCTGGAGCTGTGGCTACCAGGAACACGTGCGAGTTCCTTTGGGACAATTTGGCAACCTCCTCCCTGAGTGCAGATACAACACGAGCATCCTCACCACCATCACGGTCCTGAAAATTCACATACTGTGCTACTTTGAGTTTTTCACTGTGGGCTTGCTAAAGAAAATATATTTTGAAGTTTAAAGAAGCATTAGATTAATGCTGAACTCTCAGGTTGTATAATCTTTAGTAGTGACACTGCATTAAAGATATTTAACAAGGCTAAGGAAATAAACAAGAATATTTTTCGTTTTCACTGTGTGTAACTTATCTGGCAAGACAATAATGGAGTGAATGATGGTAAAGATATTTCTTTTTCGGGCCACCCTACCTTGGTGGGAAACAGCCGATGTGATAATAATAATAAAAAAAACTTATTTGCTTTCTCACCTCATCAAAACTGAGGTTCAACTGCAAATTACTATAAAAATGAAATGCAATGTAAAAAGCAACATCAGAAATGCACTTGCTAAAAACATACTTTATCCATTTACAAGCAACATTGTCAATATATCCGTGAAAAAGCCACACACGATCACAGATAGAATGACTGACCACTATCCTACCATTCTATAAACGACCATCACCAAATTACCAGTAAAAAAAAAAAATACCACATTCTACTGAACAATGAGGCTTCAACAATTACTTCAGTAACATAAAAAGATGATGTAAGTCGAGTATGTACTCCTCCAAAAAACACTTAAGATAAATTATTGCCTACTAGCATTTTCATGATTCCGAAGGGTCCTCTCTTAATTTAGAGACTTAAATGACTGAATTAATTAGATACACCAAAGGCTTAAGTGGAATATTAAATGATTTCTGACAACTGAGCAAGACATTCACAAATAAGTTGTGACAAAGATGTTCTTGCTCATCAAACACTCACTGGCTCAATTATTAATGTATGGTTCATACATTAGTTTGTATGCAGCCTGCTGTAACAGCCTGGTTGATCAGGCCCTGATCCATCACGAGGCCTGATCATGGACCAGGCCATGGGGATGCTGACCCCTGGAACACCCTCCAGGTATACTCCAGGTATGGTAGTTTTGAACCCAAATGACAGAAAAAATTGACAAGTTCTGACACTGAGAAGAAACCAGTTGATGAAAGCACAGATGTAATAATGGAATAGTTTATAATCATTTTGCTAAAATGACACCATCTATGTCTGTGATGTGGACAATGCTTACCATAATGAAGCCTAATCATATGAAGAAACTCACATTACTATAATGGATGCTGAAGAATAGCAGTTGGAATATCTGGCTAGCAACGTGCAAGGTGATGAACCTAATATCTGTATGCCTGTGGCTGTGAAACCTAAATTTACTCGTTTCCCTGCACTTCAACTCCAGATAATGATTTGGATATTCTATATCATGTATACATAAGGATATATTGTAAGAAAAAATCTACAATACCTCTATACAATCTACAATTCCTGTATACAGGTAATGTTGACTTTGTGAATCTATAGCACTGGAAAATTTTAAGCAATGGATTATTATTTTATTATATTTGCCAGAAAGCACTAAATTTTAATAGGCTATAATGTACTTTAAGTTCTGGAAAGCTTCAAATCTCTCTTCTCAATTATGTAAAAAAGTCATTTTTAATACAGTTCTAAACTTTACAAACCTTTGTAAAACAGTGCACACTGAGAAGGGCAAGAACACAGGGACCTTGTGTGGAGGCTCGGAGAAATGTCTGTCGTAATTTTGCCTCTGTTCCACCACTAGTATCCCCTTTTAGGTGCCATGAATTAATCCAGAGTACTCCTAGTCCAAGAGCTGATGCTGCAAGCTTGATAATTTGTTCAATGCCACTACCTGGTTGCCCCATCAGCAGCAGAGTAATACCACCTATATTACCTTGTTCTCCTTCAGAAACAAATGCCTCAATGTAGTGTTCATCTTTCCCGTGATGTGGATCAGTCCTGGAACGTAGGATATCACTGGATTCCTTTGTATGTACAAGGTTATTCTTTCCAAAACCTTTCCAATGTGTGGCAATACTTTTACTGCATATATCGCCATCTAAAGACTGTGGCACTTGTTCTCTCTCTTGCATTTCCATATGAAGAACTTCCTTAACTTTAACAAAGGTATCATTTAAAACTGGAGGAATATCCACATTACCCTTATCATCAAATTTTTCTGCAAGTATTGGATGATAACATTGGACAGTGCCAGCAAGATAAAGGCTCGTGATGCCCATAGTTACAAGACTACTCTGCTTAGTGTCAATGTCAGGTTTTGTTTTAGCACCAGAGATTTTGATAACAATATATTTTGGAGGAATTACTGAATTAATCACAGTAAATTCATAGCCAAGATGACTAGGAACAGGAATAATTAAAATATCACCCACTGTAATTAATTTGGGGACTCTAAAATAATCTTTTAGTAGTAATTCCAACTGACTTCCGCATTTATATTTTGAAGATTCCACAACTTGAACGTAGACTTCCACTGCAGTATCTGGAGTGTGCTGGGTAAATTTTTTATTTATGTTAAGAATACTCTCAGCACCATGAGCATCTTTCCACAGTGTGAAAATTCTTTTGACAGCATCTGACAAAACTGCTACACCACCAGTACTGTCAAATTCTATGACAACATTTTTATTATCAATGCCTTGCTGCAAATTGTGATAGAGTACAGGAGACACCAGACACTGATTTTCTGCCACATCTGGACACACTCCAATCATGATCCACCTCCTCCTAACAATTTTCACATTATCATTAGATGCACCATTTCTGGGCGGGTTTTCAAGGCAGCACAAGACATTCTGCCACTGGCCACACCTCAGCCCAAGGCAAAGAGCAATTTTTTTATTGACAAGAACAACAGCATTGATATCAGGTTCACAACTTATAACTTTCAAAGATCTACAGTACAGAGTTTTCAATGATACTCTTAGTACTTTCAGTCTGTGCCTAGATTGGGTATAATTTGTCTGCTTGGCAGCAAATTCTAGTGGGTTGACTATATGTGGCCTGGTAACCTTGATCAAAGAGCAGACATAAAGCAACATTTGCATGTAACTCAAAGTTCTCAAAACTGTCGATTCCTCTGCCATTTTATACCTGAAACAAAAAAATACTTGAATCTATAATGTGTCATTGATGCCTAAAACACACAAAAAAAAGTATCTGATATGTGTAGAAAACTAAGAGTGATCATATGACTAAGATCTGCATCAAGAACCGCTTCTCCTGTTTCCTTAGAAATCTAATCTTACTTAACCTAACCTGCCTCTGCTTCAGACTCACGAGACTGACCACCTACTATTATTATTATCATAACTAAGCACTAAACCCACAAGGGTTATACAGCACTTGACAACCCACTAAGGGTGATGAATTGATCACATCACAACTACACATCTCCAGTGCTCTATTTGCCCATTTTCAACTAAAGAACCCCATTAAGCAGGTATCGTTTACCATTATTAATTATTATAATTATGGGGAGTGCTAAACCCATAGGATTACCATTATTAAGACAAGCCACAATGATTTTATTGGGTTATCATACACTGGAGTTTACCTGGAGAGAGTTCCGGGGGTCAACGCCCCCGCGGCCCGGTCTGTGACCAGGCCTCCTGGTGGATCAGAGCCTGATCAACCAGGCTGTTACTGCTGGCTACACTAAATCAACATAATGTATTATTCATGTCTATAATGCCTGTACCCTTAAGATTATTGTAAAAATATTGTATGTTATGTATGATAACTGACAAGGCTATATAAAGTTAAGTAACCTTGTTTGACTTGGTTGGGATATCTACAAGTTTATTTATGTACATTTACACACACAAAAAAATACCTAAGTTTTGGGTAATTACAGTTATATTAGTAACGAGTAAATCACCTATAAACCCAAAAAAAGTCAGACTTATTTACCATCAATTATTCCTATAAAAATTATGTGCTTATTGAAACAACTGAGAACTTAAAACAGTATCTGTAAAATTACATGGTGAACCGAGTTCTTCAATAACGTGCCTAACAAGCGGCTTTCTATATTATATGTCACTGATGTCAGCTAGGCCTGTGTAACTTATATATGTACTTGTAGAAATAAAGATTATTATTATTATTAACCTAAACTGTCTAGTTACTAATAAGTCACTCTGTCTGACTTTTTTGGGTTATCCTAGGTTCTCTACACATATGCTGCTATGTATGATAATTCTATGTAACTGTATTTGTGTATACCTGAATAAACTTACTTACTTACTAGCTAAGACTCAGAGGTCTTCTTTTTGTTGGGTTTGTAAGGGTCACTGACAGCTCGTGGAGTGTCGAGCCTTAATTCTCAATGTACAGAGACTAGATAATGTCCAAAGCTGGTTAGTTTTAGTTTAGTTTAACCCGTAAACGGTCCAAACGTATATATACGTTTTTTCAACATTTTGAAAGTATGTAAAAAAAGTAATCTTCTTTTTGTTTTTTACATTTGAAAATGTGTAAAAAAAACTTTGATCTACTTTTTTTTATTACATTTGAAAATATGTAAAAAAAAACGTAATCTACTTTTGTAGCACTACACGTGAACGTAGATCTGCTTGGACCGTTTACGGGTTAATATGTTTATTATGCACCACATACCCATCCTGTGGGTGGTAGTTAAAAGATTACAGAGGTACATAATGGGTCCAGGGACTGGGCCCCAAAGTTTTGATAGCTGAGCAAGTTACAAAGGTAATGAACTTATAAGTTACAAAGGTAATGAATCATGTAAGTAAATTTACTTATGTTTGTACATGGCTACAATCATACTTTGTAAGTTCTCTGAAACTGAACCAACTGTTCTTGTTGGGGTCCCCCAGTGTAGTGTTCTTGGACCACTACTCATTTACATCAATTTACATCAGTAATAATAATAATAATAATATCTTTATTTACTACAAGTACATGGTATACAGACCATAGCTGACATCAATGACATACTACTATATATAAAGTCCTTTGTTATGCTGAGCATTTCGGGCAAATTAGGTCATTGTCCCAGGATGCGACCCACACCAGTCGACTAACACCCAGGTACCCATTTACTGATGAATGAACATAGAAAACAGGTGTTAAGAAACACGCTCAATGTTTCTACCCTGGCTGGGAATCGAACCCAGACCCTAGCCGTTTGAAGAGAGAGCTTTAGGTGGCCCGGTGGCCTGGTGGCTAAAGCTCCCGCTTCACACACGGAGGGCCCAGGTTCGATTCCCGGCGGGTGGAAACATTTCGACACGTTTCCTTACACCTGTTGTCCTGTTCACCTAGCAGCAAATAGGTACCTGGGTGTTAGTCGACTGGTGTGGGTCGCATCCTGGGGGACAAGATTAAGGACCCCAATGGAAATAAGTTAGACAGTCCTCGATGACGCACTGACTTTCTTGGGTTATCCTGGGTGGCTAACCCTCCGGGGTTAAAAATCCGAACGAAATCTTATCTTATCTTATCTTAGCCACCAGAGCCCTTCTAAACCACTTAAACTTGTTCTTTTTGCAGATGACACTACTTATGTCTTCTCTCACCCAAACCAAACCATACTTAGAAACACTGTAAAGTGTTAATGATGAGCTACTAAAAATATCCACTTGGATGACGACCAACAAACTTGCTCTGGAAATATTCAGCTAAACATATCGATATATGGTTCTCCCATTTCAAGACACACTGACGGCAAATGTCTAAGGCTCCACATTGATTACTGTCTTAAATTTCAGACCCACATACAGCATATATATTTCCAAAAAAAAAAAATGTCCAAAACAGTAGGCATTCTTTTTAATATACGATAATATTTACCCCAAACGGCACTTCTCGTTCTTTACCACTCTCTCATCTACCCTTACCTCACCTATGGTGTTTGTGCATGGGGTTTAACCACAGCAAATCTCCTTAAACCTTTAATATTCCACCAAAAAGCTACTGTGAGAATGATTACAAACTCCTGCGCCAGGCAACACACCCCATCACTATTTAAGAGCTTGAACCTGGAGAGACCTGGAACATACAAAATATTCACTCATATCATTGTGCTTACTACATACACAGAACATTATTCACCAATATTAACCCTCCTCTCAAACTCCTTCTTGAGAACTACAACAGAACACCTAACACAAGACACAAAATATTCTTTGATATCTCTCGTGTCCATCTGTCCCTATGCAAAACTGCTATACATATAAAGGACCCTAAGATCTGGAATTTATTACCTGAACATATAAAAGGACCCCTGCTGCCTGCACACCAATTCAAGTCTCTGCTTAGAATTCATCTGATCTCCCAAAATTAACCGTACAAACACTATGTATTATCGCCACCAATAACTCAAAAATTCCTAAATATTTTAAGATTATTTCAATATTAAAATGGTTCCAATCTCATTATGTAAAATGTGCCAAAATATAACACTGTAACCTGTCAATCAATTCATCTCAATTATAAATTCAATTACTACTAAACCACTAACTACCTCCTCTGTTGAAATATAAAAAACGATGTTCAGTTCGAACTATGTTATATATGCCTAGTATTAATAAATCTGTTAAGCATTAGGTTTAGTCTGCCCGACATGCCCTGGCATGATAGTGGCTTCCTTTGTACTTAGCAAATCAATATTGTAAGTACACATTGTAAACTATGCAAAGAAATAAAATCCTTAATCCTTAACGATGTCCTCTATAGAGCAACTTAACCATCAGGTTAAGGAGGCCAGGGTAGTGATACGGCGATTGACTGAAGAAAGCAAAGAGGATAAGTTCAGAGTTTCTTCGGATTTTTAACCCCGTAGGGTAAGCCACCCAGAATAACCTAAGAAAGTCAGTGCGTCATCGAGGACTGTCTTATTTCCATTGGGGTTCTCAATCTTGTCCCCCAGGATGCTACCCACACCAGTCGACTAACACCCAGGTACCTATTTGCTGCTAGATGAACATGATGACAGGTGTAAGGAAACACGTCGAAATGTTTCCACCCCGCCAGGAATCGAACCCGGGCCCTCCGTGTGTCTAGCCACCAGGTCACCGGGGCACCCACTCGTAGTAATGCTCTCGTTGTGAATCTTCACGTCAACAAACCCTTCAAGGGAGGTTTCTCGATGTTGGTGAGGGGCTCTTGATCTAGGGAATTGGATCTGTGCTCCAGTTCCCTGAATTGAGCCTGAATACCTTCCATCACCTCCCCCCCCCACATGCGCTGTACAATGTCTATGTAATTAGCACTCCCCATGAATATAATAATGGTCAGGTTAACAAAGAAAGCTGGACAGTGACTGGGCAGAATAGGAACGAAGCTGTAGATCAAAAGGAAGGTGGAAATGAAGATGCAGGAGACTGCTGTGGAAACTTTCAGTTCGTTCTTTGTGCTGCCTAACAAATGTGAGTCGACTATGATGAGGGACACAACAAACTATGCTAAGGAAAGTAGGAACATTGTACGTGTTGGGGACAGTCATATTAGGTTCATTGATAAGAGATGGATAGGGCTTATTGGATGAAGGATAAGAGAAGACAGAGGGTTTGCTTTCCTGGGGCTGGGATGGAGGATATTGTTAACTATCTTGACCAAATTATGAATGGTAACAGGATCAACATCATTATCTGCCTCAGTGCTGAAAGCAAATTAGTGAGGATATGGTTAGCAGCTGTTAGAAAATTCTGGAGGGATTAATACCAAACTTGCACACGAAAATCACCCCCTACGAAAGCAAAAAACTCGGCAGGAGATACAACATTCTCTCAGTGAGAAGCCGGGGTGTCACAAGTGCACTAGGAGGCAACACAATAAGTGTCAGGGGTCCGAGACTGTTCAACTGCCTCCCAGCATACATAAGGGAGGATTACCAATAGACCCCTGGCTGTCTTCAAGAAGGCACTGTACAAGCACCTAAAATCAGTACCTGATCAGCCAGGTTGTCGTTTGTACGTCGGTTTACATGCTACCAGCAGTAACAGCCTGGTTGATCATACCCTGATCCACCATGAGGCCTGGTCTCAGACCAGGCCGCGGGAGCGTTGATCCCCGATACCCGCTGTGGAAAATTACATTTATCTGAATGTATCATTACTTACATAACAATAAATGAACATAGATAATTATTATTTATCAGTTAGACAAGTAGGAATTTGGGACACCTAGGTCGCAAAAAATGTCCCCCTTCGATACCTACCACTGTCATATCCACAAGTTGCTCTGGACCTATTAATTAAACGAAATATACATACACCAGGAATGCTGGTAAATATATAAATTTGTGGACTGTATATTAAAAATAATAAATGATTATAGATACACATATACATAACAGAAGGAGAATATCTTAAAAATCACTCACCAATATAACTGTGAATCAAGTTGTATCATACTCAGAAAACCTCACTGTCCATACATGAAAATAACAACTGGCCAGAGTTATAACATAACAGACTTATCTGAGGTTCCTGGAGCTATCTTGTCCAGTCGCCTGATATCTCAAGTTATGCAGGAATGCACATCCAACAATTTTGCCTCCTATTTGAGAGGTGTCAACCCAATTTTAACCTCTAAAGCACGAAAAATTCTTCCCATTATTCACAACATCTGTTATTCAATTCAAACAAAATGGCGACTGTCCTCTTTTTAAAAATACACTTTTATTAAATACAATATAGGGCATCTATTTACCTATAAATTACTGCATTTCTGGAAAATATATACATTATTTTCCACACCCTCTCCAGGTAAACCAATAGACATAATAAGGAAGAAGTAATGACAGCCTATAATAAGTGGCATTTTGCCTGGAAGTGGTGTTGGAAATAAATGGTTGTCCAGAGCAATTGATGTTAATTATTGGCTGTATATACTGTACATTATGAGTATATTACAGTACCAGTGGCTTCTGCTTCACACACGGAGGGCCCGGGTTCGATTCCCGGCGGTTGGAAACATTTCGACACGTTTCCTTACATCTATTGTCATGTTCACCTAGCAGCAAATAGGTACCTGGGTGTTAGTCGACTGGTGTGGGTTGCATCCTGGGGGACAAGATTTAAGGACCCCAATGGAAATAAGTTAGACAGTCTTAGATGACGTACTGACTTTCTTGGGTTATCCTGGGTGGCTAACCCTCCGGGGTTAAAAATCCGAACGAAAAAATCTTATCTAACTGGGGTCACTTTTATTCTTGAATTTGATAAAAAAAGTAATTGGTGGCAAATATAAGTATTAGAGTATAGTATATTTACGTTGATTATATTTTTGTTAATTATTGCTAATATAAATAATTAATGAAGTTACTAATCAAAATAAGATTCATATTTTAAATGCTAACTGTAAGTTGTGGTAAATATAAATATTTATGTTTAAACATTGATTATTATTTAAAATGTTATCAAATTAAATGATTTAAATTAATTCGCCGTTTCATTTATAAATGCCTTTGCAGTTTGATAGAGGACAGTGTGATATATGGTCATAAATATTGGTGTTAGAGAGAGGCTCCCTTCACACTGGGCTTGTTTACACGTAGTTCAGGCGGACACAAGTGCCTACAATTTTTTTTTTAATTATTTTTCGAAGCAGACATCACTGAGATAACATAGCAAGGACGACAGGACACTACAACTCGTGCAGTTATTGGGAGGTAAAGGAACTAATAAGTAAGCAGTATGTTTCCTGGAGAATAAGTAGACACATTCTAGGAGTGACTATCCCACTGCATATTAGGCAGAAAATAGTGAAAGTATTAACCCAGTTTTTAGAAAAAACAAGCAAAAAACTGGGCAGTATGTAAACACGATAACTGTAAGTGTATCCAAGATCTAGGCAGAGTAAGAGAAACACACATGAACTTATCTTAATTTTCACAAGGACCCCAGTGGAAATAAGTCACTTAGTCTGACTTATTTTTGGGTTAACCTAGGTAATTTATACATATTTTGCTATGTAGGTAATTTATATAACTGTATTTATGTGTACCTTAGTCAGCTTCCTGACCCAGGAGCTGAGACTCGACTCCTGCAACCACACACAGGTGAGTATATCACTGAATCATCACAAGACTCAAGAAGATTTATAGAAGGAGAAGAAGACTCTGTTTGGATTAATGAATCTGCAGGGTTAATAACCCAGGATAACTCAATAACATTCATGTTTTGTTGGGGACTCTCTTATTTCTCTTGGTATCCTTTAATCTTCTCCCCATAAAATGACCTGCAGCAGTCAATTAACATGCAAGTACCTACTTACTGCTAGGTGAAGAGGGGCAGCAGGTGTAAGGAAACATGCCCATTTCACCTATGCCACAGGGAATGATCCTCAGTCCCTCATTGTATGAGCTGAGGTAACTACCAGTTGAGTCATGAGAACCCTATACCATCAGTTGCAAAATGTCTCTTCAATAAGTGTCTTGATTGTGCATGTCTTGTACCTATAAAAAGTGACAACACTGCAACTCGTGCAGTCATTGCTAAGGGAAGAAACCTTAGGGTTCTGCAGCAGCTGTAGGGGGGTGAATGTGGAAGGTATTCAGGCTTAATTCAGGGAACTGGAGCACAGATGGATCAAGAGCTCCTTACCAGCATCAAGGAACCTTCCTTGAGAGATTAAAGTTAACTGAAGTTATCCTGAAGAAGTAATAGTAATTCAGGCAATTTTTTTACTGGGTCATCAATTTTGGGAATTTTTCACAATTATTTTAACCTGATTGTTTAGGTTATCTTGGGTAATTTACACATATGTTGTTATGTATGATAATTTATGATAAATCATAAATGTCCTAAGATTTGTTTATTTTGATAAACATATTTGCATACATAACATAAATTAGTAATAATTAATTTACTTCTTTGCAGAAAGGCAGGAAAATGTAGTAAAAATTGTACAATATTGAGTGGGTTTTACACTAGAGACACAGTGGAACCTCTACCCTCAAACTTAATTGATTCCAGAATGCTGTTCGAGTGCCAGTCTGTTCGAATACAGAACAAATTTTTTCCAATCGATTTTCTTTTTGGTTGGCTGTTATCACTAACCCTCTTAGGCCCCATGATGACTTTATACAAATAATATGAAAAAAAAAAACGAAAAATGCAATAAAACACAAAATAGTTTACATTGAAGTTCTGGCAGGTCATGTTTGTTTGGTCGAGTGCCAAGTAAACGGTTGACTGCCGAGCGATTTGTTTACCGAACAAAGTGTTTGAATACTGAATTGTTCAAGTATGGAGCTGTTCGAGTACTGAGGTTCCACTGTAGTATAATATTATAGAAAGGAATGTTGTCAGAGTCAGGTTTATGATAGAGCACAAGAGTTCCGTTTTGAAGTAAAAATAGAAACATTTATTTCCCAATTATGGCATGACTACTAGTTGGTGGGGCAGGGTGGGTCACAACAGCCCTGGGGCAGGGCTGTTGTGACTCACAGCAGCTGACTAACTTCAGAGACCTATTTACTGCTAGGCAAGCAGGAACACCAACTGTAAGGAAACATGCCCAATGCCCATATATCTTGCCTTGCCTGGGACCCGAAACCAGGGCTTTTCTTTTCAACTGTTGAATTCAGTGTTATCCGTTGCTTGGGTGATTATCCCCAGAACCATCAACAGATCTTCTTAGCACCAACAAAGTCAATGAATAGCCTATAACTAGTTAATGATTTGTGATTACCTGGAGTTACCTGGAGAGAGTTTCGGGGGTCAACGCCCCCACGGCCCAGTCTGTGACCAGGCCTCCTGGTGGATCAGAGCCTGATTGCTTGCTGAGGTTTCTCTGAATTTGCAAATGTAATAAATAGGCTGTGTAATTACTACAGGAACATCCCCTTGGTGTAGAAGAGTCCGCAGTCATGGCAGGCGATGGGTTGCTCTCACTCCGGTGGAACAATCATCGTACCTCATTTCTGCAGGTTTTATCCTCACTGAGGGACAAGGTTAGTGATTATTCTTAATGGCTAGCATTAACTAAAATCAAGAATTATAGAGCTTGCATATACCGTACAGTACTATACTGTACTTTTTTTTTTTTGCCTCTGGTATGCTGTAAATCATCTGAATCATTATAAACTAGCATTTGCAAGATACTTGTATTTTGTTAATGTATATTTATGTATGTATATTTTGTTTCAGAAAACCTACAGTGATGTTACTATTGCTTGTGCTGGCAAGTTTTACAGTGTTCATAAGTTTGTCCTCTCTACGTGTAGTGATTACTTTGTTGATATAATGGAGAAGACACCATGCAAGCACCCAATCATTGTCCTCAAAGACATACGTCATCAAGACTTAGAGGCATTGTTAAATTATATGTATCTAGGTGAGGTAAATGTGCTCCAGAATGAGTTAGCAGGTCTAATTAAAGCAGCAGAGTGCTTAAGAATCAAAGGTTTAGCTGTGCCAGATGAGTCCCCACCCCTTCATCCTAGTGAGACCATACACAGTCCTGTCAAGAACTGTGAAGAAGGAAGCCCACAGACAAAGAGAAGACATGAAGAAGAGTCCACAAACAGTAATTCAAGTCCACCCAGGAAAAGAAGCAATTCACGACTGCATACTGAAGGAATTGTAGAATCTACTTTAACTGAAGACCATTCTGAGGCGAGTGAAAATAAGATGAGGGAGAATGTATTACCAAGTGTCCAGCAAGCTCAAGAACAGCAATCAAATAATGCAAATGAACATCCTGGTGAAAGTTCTCAACCCATCCCTAGTGATGAGAGGCAGAACAAGGTATGTTTGGAAAATTATTGTATTCAAATGTTTGCTTTGATCATGATTTATATCATGTATCAATACCCAACAAGCTATGTACCAGTGCAATTACTATAAGATAGTAAATTGGTGTTGTAGTTATAAAAGTAGTTATATTCATGATGCTTTATCTTAAATTATTTGATCATACTTATATGTTAATATTCTGTTGTTGCAGAGTACACCACCTCTTTAAGTACATTCCCATTATCTACTATGTTTGAAAATTATGACTTTCTTTAATAATTTCTTTAAGGTATAAAATTGAAACCTCTTATTCTCCCTGTTGCTAGTTCCAAAAAATTTTCTCATTTCTTTTTATAGTTTTTTGTAATTTTTTAGCTTCAGTATCTGTAGTGTCAGTTTTATATTTTGACTGTGTTTTGTAAGTTTAGTTGAAGGTACCATATATGGCAGCACATTCTAGTTTGGCTCCAACTTACAGTATAAAATAAATTATTTAGCATATCCCCCATCATATATTTAGAGTGTATCTTAAAATGGATCAACAGTGTATTAACCCCTTCAGGGTCCAAGGCCCAAATCTGAAGTGGTGCCCCAGTGTCCAAGAATTTAAAAAAAAAAAATTTGTTATTTTTTCTTATGAAATGGTAGAGAATCTTTTTGTGAAGGTAATAAAACAAAAAGTACGAAATTTGATGGAAATTTGACGAAATTATGCTCTCGCGAATTTTGATGTGTCAGCGATATTTACGAATCGGCGAATTTGCCGACTTTGACTCCCATTTTAGGCCAATTACATTATTCCAGTCAACCAAATTCTTAGGTATTTCACTAGTATTACTTCTATTCTATCGATTGAGCACAAGAAATCGCCAGGTCAACTGTTTGAACTACAAATTAAAGTGATTGGAAATTGTTAATATGGCCAATTTAACACAAAGTTCAAAATATTCCAATTTCAAAATAGGGTCCAGAATAAACAATGTAGGTATTCCTGGAACTAAACTAACATTTCCTCTGTTCATTAGTTACGTTTTGAGGCTTTACAAATAAATTCCATTTTGATTTTTTATTCACATAATGAATTTTTATTCACACCAAAAAATAGAAGATTTACTGTTATGCAATACTGTAATAATTGTATAAATATTATCACCATATTTGTGAATGCATATTAGACCCTCTAGCTGGCGTGTATTAGACGTGTGAGGTCGTTTGTTTACTCTTGAATATCGGCAAAAATTTAACATTTCTGCTACTTTGAGCTCAGTTTCAAGCCATTTCCAGTGCTGAAACCAATCAAAATCATCTCTATTTCTGTAATATGTCTTCCATTCTATCAAATGAGACCAAGAAATCGCAAATACAACTATAAAAAACATATGAAAAAACACTGCAAAGTCACTGTTTTAATCGAAAAATCATGATTTCAGTTTTTTTTCTCTCATTATACACAGTGTGCTGCAGGATCTGTTTTATGTGGTGCATACATACCACATAGATGTATTCTCTCATATCTAGGCCCAAATGTACCACTCACAGTTTATCAGAGTGAGCTGAGCTCATGACGTAGATCTACGGTTTGGACCCTGAACGTAAAGCCGTAGATCTACGGGACGGACCCTGAAAGGGTTAAAACACTTCTCCATTTATGTGGTCTTCTGGTGATGTGCTGTTTATATAGTATTTGCTCTGTCAGATAATTTGTTTGCACTTTAGGTCATTTACATTATATACATGGTCATTTTGAGTATTATATTCCATCATCCAAAACATTTATGAAGGATTTCACTTAAACTTGTTAGGTAGAATAGGTTCTGGAAGTGTGAGGTACAGTGTCTGTGACCCGAAAGATAGTTGATAAAAACACACAAGCAGCAATTGGAAACTTTGTTTAAAACATTATTTCACTAGCACAGAAGGATTTTTCAAGCCTGATATATTATATGTGTTGGTAACTATATAGGAAGAAGACAGGAACATAGTCATGAATAAGTGATGGTGAATAGGCTTCCTTTTTTAGGTGACCCTACCTAGGTAGGAGACTGCTGATGGGATAAAAAAAAAAGACAAACGTGTGCATAAAATTAACTTGTTGCCTTTTTTTTGGTATATTTTTTTTTTCCAACAAGTCGGCTGTCTCCCACCGAGGCAGGGTGACCTAAAAAGAAAGAAAATCCCCAAAAAGAAAATGCTTTCATCATCATTCAACACTTTCACCTCACTCACACATAATCACTGTTTTTGCAGAGGTGCTCAGAACACAGTAGTTTAGAAGCATATACGTATAAAGATACACAACATATCCCTCCAAACTGCTAATATCCCGAACCCCTCCTTTAGAGTGCAGGCATTGTACTTCCCATTTCCAGGACTCAAGTCCAGCTATACAAAAATAACCGGTTTCCCTGAATCCCTTCACTAAATATTACCCTACTCACACTCCAACAGATCGTCAAGTCCCAAATACCATTCGTCTCCATTCACTCCTATCGAATACGCTCATGCACGCCTGCTGGAAGTCCAAGCCCCTCGCCCACAAAACCTCCCTTACCCCTACTTTCCAACCTTTTCGAGGACAACCCCTACCCTGCCTTCCTTTCCCTACAGATTTATATACTCTCCATGTCATTCTACTTTGATCCATTCTCTCTTAATGACCAAACCACCTCAACAACCCCTCTTCAGCCCTCTGACTAATACTTTTATTAACTCCACACCTTCTCCTAATTTCCACACTCCGAATTTCTGTTATCAAAATGTAATAAATTAGGATATACTGAACATACAGTACAAGGTTTTGGTGATCTTACACCAAACTTTTTTGAACATGGTTTCACTTCCAGGTCTATTATTTATTTTTTCTTAATTGTTATCATTTTATAGAAATTTATTAGAATTGGCATCCTGAGGTTTTCCAGAGCTTTCCAGTGACTCTGACCTATATAAATGACAAAATTAGTTGTGATAGTGTTTTTGCTATTAGTCAGTATTTTTATTTTAGCATGCTGAAGTGGAAAATCCAGTAATAAAGGTAGAGGAAGAAGATGTGAAATATGAAGATGAAGATGGTATGCAACTACCCGACACCTGCAATGCTCTAGAAGTTCAAATGACCGAGTCTGATGGGTCATCACAAGGCACAGCAAGAAACAGTGAATCTGTACTAAAGTATGAGGCCTCCCTCTCTGGTAGTGCTGGGGGAGCTCCTCTTCTCTCGCCTGTTACTCAGTATTCTACTCATCCACAGTCATTTGAGGAAATAGTCTCGCAGGCATTACCAGGGCCTTCAGGAATTCAAGGGGTTAGTAGCTTCAGACCTTTTTTTTTTTTTTTTCTAATTGTAACGGTCTTAATATCCTTCAAGGGGATGGGGTGTCTGGATGGCATTGAAGGCTCTTAATCCAAGAAATACCTCAGAATAAGCCTTATAACTTCCATTCTTCAGGTGTTTATAACTCCTATAGGTTTAGTGCTTCCTCTTGAATGTAATAATAACATATACTACCAAGAACAATGGTTTTAGTAGAGCAAATTCTGTTAAACCCCCCCATCCCCCATAAAAAATGGTCTGTATATTGCTACCTACATTCATTATTTCCCTGGACAGTGCCAGGTCTGTTAGCTAGTGCTACATATGCAATATACATTCATTTATCCACTGCTGACTGTAGACACATCTAAATTAGCATTAACAGTGTATTAATTTCAGGATGGTCAGAGTTGGGACAGCAGCCGAAGAGAAGGAGAGATGACTTCCTTTCATCTTCAAGGCTTTTCACAACAAGATCGCCTCAACCCCCATCATCATAGTCTCCAGCAAGTGGTAAGTGAATTCCTTGCATTGTATTTGGTAGAATTTGTAGTAGGTGAAGGATAGGGTATCTATCTGTATCTGGCTACTGAAGTTTAAAAGTAAATTAATTTCAGTTAAAAGATTGTTTACACTTTTGGGAGCCTATGCATTCCAGAAATATATTTTGTATATTGTTTTTTATTATGTTACATTAATCATTAAACAGAGATACTTGGTAGTACAGTATTTCATTCAAAATTTTCACACTAGTTTCAATGTAGGAAAATCAGAATTACCTTTGGAACACTGTTTACAAAAAGGTTGCTTGTAGCAATAGTGAGAGGATTTACACATGAACAATTTCACTCTACTTGCTTTTTTGTCAGCATGTCTACTGTGGAGTAGCCAATTTTATGTCTAAACTAATGGTCATTCGGATAGTCTTTGTCCTACTACACTCCTGATTACTTCAAAGATTTATTTCCACATGATACAATGTTTGTACAGAGTTGGGTGACATTTGGTTGTGCATGCAGAAAGCTCATGATTTTACAGAGCATTTCAGGCAAGCTTAAGCCTAACTTAAGACTACAATGGCAATAATTATTATTTGTTTATATTTAAGGACATTAAAGGTATACAAACAACAAATTTAGGCATTTCAAATAAAACAAACAAGCAGACAACTGTTTCTTTAAAGTTGAAATATGATTACAAGTAGTGAGAATAAGAATGTTGATTGGTGTATAAAGTGCAGTACCTGTAGTAATAATTTTTTTTAAGTAAAATTGGGTACATTTGCTACCCTAGTCTATATAATATACACAGTAGAAACACAAGTTGACCATTAATAATGCACTATATGGTTTTGTTCAAAATAATGTAGACTAGGTATGTAGCAAGTCTAAGCCCAATATGTACATACTGCTAGTGCCGGCTTAAATGTAGGGCATTTTGGTTCCTCCCAGAGATATAGTGACTAGGCACTAAAATGCTCTACATAAACCAGAGATCAAATTGTCAGTGTATGGGATTATTTTATAATTTATCCTTTGAGTTTAAACTGATGTCAAGCAGGGACTGTATGTACATTTTTCACATTATTTCACAGCCAATTTTTATTTTTCTCTTGTGTCCCTCTATAGTCAGGAGGAAGGTAGAGTTAGCCTATTCACAATAAAATGCACAACTCATAATTACCAAGTTCAGCTAGTCAGTAAGACATTTTCTGAGATTTAGTTTTTAATTTATCAATGTTAATCATTTTTAGGAAATATTCATATCCATGAGTGTGTAGAGATTTGAGATTTGTGCTTCATAAAATTCAGGGGATAAATTTTATACTGCCAGTCAATATAAGTTGCAAACTTCAGAATGGATATAGATAGATAGTCATAATTGTATGCCTGTACAAGATATATTTTCTTGTGTTTAGGCAGAGTTGAAATATTACTGTATGACTAGCTGACACCCAGGTATCATCCAGTGTATTCTTTATACACTGTATGTAGATAAGTTTTAATACAGTGTACATAACTTGTTGTCTTAAGGTAAGTGGAATAACAAATGCAAATTTGTTAAAGGTTATCACTTATGCAGATCTATTTTGCACTTGTAATAATATGTCCAAGTTAATGTTTCATTTATTGGGGTTATAGTTTTCATTTCTGTATTCAGGTTCCATGAATCACTAATAGAAAGAATAGCATGTAAATATACCCTCTGTAATAACGGTAATGCTCTCATATTGCTTTTCATCCAATAAGTCATTGTTTACCTTCATTTGCACCCCTGCTCTTCTTTTGCTGACTCAGCACAGGCTTCTGACTGTATTTGTTTACTTGTATCAACTCAAGAAAGACCTCTCACATCATAGAGAGCATAACTTCTGTTCAATTTACTCCTTTTTGTTGGAAGACAGTGAGTAACATTAGTTTAGCTTGGCACATAGACTGTGGATGGTTTGTTCACTGTGCTTAACTGAACCTGTAATAGATTTCAGTAAATAGTGCAAATCTCACAGATATGTGGTGTTGACATTTCAGTGGTTTGGATGCCATTTCAAGATGCTTCTCTTGCATTTACTACTATGCCTATTCTTCATCCCATTGTGATTCATCAGTTTGGCGACATCGCCGAACACTATTTCTGAAACTCAGAGGTTTTCCTGGTAGGGGCACTCTTTTCCTGGGTGCCATTGCCAGGGAAAGACTACAGCCACATAGTCAGCTTGGCTAACCTTAAGTGGTTCTCATTCCGTATCAGTTATGTGAGAGGATCTTACTTTATATTTCGTAGGAGTTTTACCTTTACTATCTTGCCTTTTTCTTTGTGAGAGAACATTTGGAAAAATTAGGATTAAGTTCCATACACCTCCAAATTTGCCAACAAAACTTTTTAATATTCTGCTAGGTAAAAATTACTGTACCATACAAATGGGTGAAGGAAAGCTATTTTTCATGATTTGACATGCTGTTGGTGTGTGAGCAAGGTAACATTTATAAAGCGATTCAGGGAAAACCAGTTAGGTGAACTTGTGTTCTGGAGGTGGGAAGTACAATGGCTGCACTCTGAAGGTGAGGTGGGGTGGGGATGTTGCTGTTCAGAGGGTCATCTGAACCTTGATATCATCTCATTGCTAAGAAGACAGCAATTGAATGAATGACAGGAAAGTTGTTTACTCTTTTTTGGGTCATCATGCCTTTGGTGGGAGATGGTCGACGTGTTATAAAAAATTTTATTTTTTCATTCTGTCAGTCATTACTTACAGCATTTGAAGTGTGAGGAGAGTTAATGAGAGTCTACTGGCCCAAGTTGGATGTCACAAGTTTTATCAGTTAATGCACTAGGTACATATCAACAACAAAAATAAGTCATATTTCCTAACGAAATTGTACCAAGTATGATGTTGTAATATTTAGTGAAGGGATTCAGGGAAACCGGTTATTTTCATATAGTCGGACTTGAGTCCTGGAAATGGGAAGTACAATGCCTGCATTTTAAAGGAGGGGTTTGGGATATTGGCAGTTTGGAGGGATATGTTGTGTATCTTTATATGTGTATGCTTCTAGACTGTTGTATTCTGAGCACCTCTGCAAAAACAGTGATAATGTGCGAGTGTGGTGAAAGTGTTGAATGATGATGAAAGTATTTTCTTTTTGGGGATTTTCTTTCTTTTTTGGGTCACCCTGCCTCGGTGGGAGACGGCCGACTTGTTGAAAAAAAAAAAATGATGTTGCAAGTATATGGAATAGGTGGTAAGTTACTAAATGCTGTAAAGAGTTTTTATGAGGATAGTGAGGCTCAGGTTAGGGTGTGTAGAAGAGAGGGAGAATACTTCCCAGTAAAAGTAGGTCTTAGACAGGGATGTGTAATGTCACCATGGTTGTTTAATATATTTATAGATGGGGTTGTAAAAGAAGTAAATGCTAGGGTGTTCGGGAGAGGGGTGGGATTAAATTATGGGGAATCAAATTCAAAATGGGAATTGACACAGTTACTTTTTTCAAATTCAAATTCAAAGTTTATTCTCTATAAGGATTACAATGCTGAGTTTACAGAATTTGGTTATTGTGTGGTTTACATGTATTAAAATAATTACAGAGTGTACCACTAGAACACCTAGCATGGCTAGGCATTTCGGGCAGACTTATATTAAATCTTAAGTTTAAAATATTACAAAATTATGAGGTAAGTTGGTATTATGGCTAAGTGACTAAATACCAGTTGTGAGTTTAGCAATGTGAATGCTTTTGTTTTGGCACTATACATAGTTTCAGTATTGGAGTATCACAGGCCAACTTATGACTAGTTAAGATTCATTATTTTGAGATTGAGATTGATATTTCTGTTTATGGTCAAATGGGTGAGTGAGTGTAAGTGTGAACCACCAGGTGGTATTCGTATTATTAGTTGACAGGGTGTATCAGGGAGATAAGATGTTTTCTGATGGTAGTTTTGAAGGTGATGAATGTGTCTGCAGTTTTGGAATTTTCAGGTAGGGTGTTCCAGATTTTAGGGCCTTTGACATACATTGAATTTTTGTAAAGGTTTAGTCAGACACGGGGAATGTCATAGAAATGTTTGTGTCTGGTGTTGTGCCTGTGGGTTCTGTCACAACTATCAAGAAAGCGTTTTGGGTCAAGGTTAATATTGGAATTTAAGGTCCTGTAGATGTAGATTGCACAGTAGTAAGTGTGGATGTACTGAACAGGGAGTAAGTTTAGATCTATGAAGAGTGGGGGGGGTGTGTTGCCAGGGATGGGATTTAGTGATTATTCTTACTGCGGCTTTTTGTTGGGTTATTATTGGCTTTAGGTGTGTTGCTGCAGTTGAACCCCAAGCACAGATAGCATAGGTGAGGTATGGATATATAAGTGAATGGTATAGTGTGAGAAGGGCAGTTTGCAGCACGTAGTATCGTATCTTGGAGAGGATCCCAACCATTTTGGATACTTTTTTGGTTATGTGTTGGATATGGGTGCTGAAGTTCAGGTTGTTGTCGAGGTATAGGCCTAGGAATTTGCCCTCATTATGCCTGGCGATTAGAGTGTTGTCGATCTTAATGTTAATTTGCGCATCTCCTGCTCTGCTACCAAACATAATGTAGTAGGTTTTGTCAACATTAAGCGTAAGTTTATTGGCTTTCATCCAAGTCGATATTTTGATCAGCTCCTCATTAACAATGGTGTTGAGGGTGGCAAGATTAGGGTGAGAGATGACATAAGTCGTGTCGTCAGCTGATGATACCGTGCTTATGGGAGATTCTAAAGAAAAATTGCGAAGGTTAATGGATGAGTTTGGGAATGTGTGTAAAGGTAGAAAGTTGAAAGTGAACATAGAAAAGAGTAAGGTGATGAGGGTATCAAATGATTTAGATAAAGAAAAATTGGATATCAAATTGGGGAGGAGGAATATGGAAGAAGTAAATGTTTTCAGATACTTGGGAGTTGACGTGTCGGCGGATGGATTTATGAAGGATGAGGTTAATCATAGAATTGATGAGGGAAAAAAGGCGAGTGGTGCGTTGA